TCTTTTTGTGAATTACATCTCTTAAAAAAATTTTTACTTGTCCGAAATGAGGAGTCACCCATATCCGAAATTAGGCTCCCATTTTCACAGACCCTTCCTTTATAACTTTTTGGATTTTATTTTGTTTTTAATTATATACTGCATTTCAGATCCTAAGTTATTTTAACACAACAAAGTATTCACAGCTCACAATTTTCTCATCAAAAGAAATGGCTCCTACCTTAAGTTTTCGAAATATGGCGTCTTTACCCTACCTTAGACGTAAAGGGCTTCCGCTCCAAGATACAGTACAAGTACTACAAACAAACTCCGTATTTTTAGTCCGCAAGGGAACTATACCGATCGAGTGACAGCCGCTTGTCGGCGAAGTTAGTGCCAACTTTTGCGGACAGAGGATGTCGCGTGGTCAGCGAAACTAATCCCCACGGCCGTTAATCTCGGTTTTCTAGACCGGAGCAGCTGTTTCCTTGAAATATCTCCTCAATTATCCTCACGAGGCTGTGTGGACCCCGTTCCAGACCCACTACGTCTCAGAAAATCTGGTAGCGCCGGGAATGGAACCCGGACCTCTGGATCTGTAGCCAGGAACTCTGACCACTAGACCACAGAGGCGGTCACAGTACAAGTGCTATATCTTCTAAATGTGTTATTTAAGGGTTTACAAGCCACACTGGCGGAATTAACGTAAATACACGGAGCCCATACCGGGTGTCGCGGAAATGATAAAAATGAACGACGTTAAGGGCCTGAATAAAACTCGCGTGAAGTTTCATTTTCTGGGATGTAACGCGGTATAGTCAGGTGAGTCAACGGACGTTTCGGAGGGACATATCGCCCCCATATTAAGGGTTAAAAGTGATCTAATTAAGAAAACAGCTTGAGACAAGTGACATGTTCATCCGAATCGATCATTGACTTTCAACAGACTACATGCATTACATCCTAAACGACAGAAGATCCTAGAAACCCATATACGCTCTGCAGAAATTATTTAAGTGTAAAAAAAATATGTTCTTACACAGGAAAACGTTTTCTATTCCGAAGCTTAAAAACTCGTATTTCATTTATAATTGAATCATACATTATTGTAATCGATATTGAACAGGGCTCACATTTTTGTGTGTGTGTGGGAGGAGGGGGGATTATAGCTTGAACTCGTCCTTCCCATTGGTCAATGGAGGATCGGATGTTATTTTATGATACGAGAGGCCACACTTTTCAAATTCCTTGTTGCAGTGACCTCAGGGGCTGACACTGTTACCTCTAGTTTATGTACACCAACTTCCAAACAGGCTAATGTATTCGATTTGAAATCTAGAAAATTTGGTAGCTACTCCGTGGATCTGAAAAACTCATCTGTAGCGTCATCTGACCTTTCCAGAGATGCACATTTTTAACATTAAAACTGGAAAACAATCGTGTGTGTAACGAATCAACCGAACTGACTAACCGTGTTACATACATACTTATGTTCTACATAAGTTATATGAATTTCATTCGAATTCATTTTTGCAGTTTTCATAAACCTCATATAGTAAAACCAGCCTTAAACGGACCCTTTATTAAACGGAATCTGTCTTAAACGGAAATATTTTCAGGTCCCGTGAATTTGGGGCGGAAAAAAGGTGTTAAATATCCTGGATTAGACGGAAACTGTCTGACGCGGAAACATATATCAAAATTAGTCTTTACATGGAAAATTTCCAGTCATCCGGAATGAAATGTTTAGAAGAATTTTAGGCATCATACACATTCTACCGTTTTTTTCCCTGTAACTCTTTCAATTCGGCTTTTAACGGTACTGCACTACCTCAACTGAAATTCAACTGAACAGTTTGCCCCTTCCGGAAATTTTACTTTAGGCCTGCATTTTTACTTTAGTCTAGCAGCTGTCATCATGGCTACAAAGACAAGAGTTGTGCTTGATCTTAACACAAGAGTAAACGTGATTCATGCCTGTGAGCGACACAAATTGTCTGTTAAACAGATCATGAAGATGTTTAACGTTGGTAAAACTCAAGTGTATGAGATTGTACAGAAGAAAACGGAAATTTTGAAGCGGTGGGAAAATTGTGCCAATGGAAAAAATAAAGAGAACTTAAGGAAACTGCAAACGAAGACGATAATGAAATAGTGTGGGAGTGGTTTGTCAGTGTCAGGACGAACGATCTCCGCGTGTCGGGTCCTAGGGTACAGGAATATGCTAAAAAGTTGCCGAAAAACCGGGAAAAATTTAATACAAAGCAAAAGACATAAGATAATTTTTAATGAAGGAAGAAGAGGAAAATGACAATGCGTAGAAGAAGAAAAGTGTACAGTGAAGACTTTTCAAGATGCTGTCAGAAGTTTAAAGGAACCGCAGGAATTTGCCGTACAACGGAATGATTCAGATATGCTTTGTGTAATTTCTCAAGCTAAAGTGTCAGCGGAAAGTCAGGCAGCCGGGAGAGTGAACTGCGCGCAAAAAAACTCTGCTTGAGTTCTGGTAAGATTATAAAAAGTGAGTACTGCATTTTCTCTCTTCAGTGTAATGTTTGCACCTGTTCAATGATTATAGTGTGAATAAATTAATGAGTATTGTGTTTTATTTAGTCCCAAATACGTGTATCTCCTGGTTTAATTATTATAGTATACATTGATTAAATGGGGACCTGGCTTCAGCGGAAAAATATTCTGGACCATTGAGATTCCGTTTAAGACAGGTTCTACTGTATTTTGTACCATCCGGTACAAATAACGTAAACTTGTCCTTGCGCTTAATTAAGCATAATGCCACGAAGACAGATGGGGGGGTACCACAAGTCTTGACTTCAGCACTAGATGGAGATGAGTGGTCAGGTTCATGCCCCTGTCGCACTGACAGTAGGACTCATCGCTGTGAGGATCTCATATACTTATAAGGTTTACTGACTGCTACACACAAACATTATACTGGGCCAGTAATTATAAAAGTTCAGTCCTCCTGACAACTTTTAGAATAGCCCCCCACCAATGCCAAATTTCTTTTAATTCTACTGAATACTTCCGGACATGAAACTCCGGGACCAACAACTCCTAAGAACGCATAAAAGCAAAATTATTGCATTATAAATAGTGAAAGACGAAGTATGAAGTCGGGAACACACGAGATGAAACAAGTACTTAGTATTTAGTTTAGCCACTGCAAACTTTGTACTGTGTTTTCTCGGATGTGAAGTGAATGTATTAGTCTCGATCAGGAAATGGAGAAACAACTACATTTAAAATTGCAATGTGAATATAGCTAGAAGTACCATTCCTCGCCATAGATATGGCTGCTTTGGTTGCAAATATCATAATACACTATCTATACTACCTATCTACATATTTATTTATTTGTCTGTCAGTCAGTCTGTCTCTATCTATCCATCAATCAATTAATCTATCCACCTAGTCATCTATTTTTTCATCTATCTATCCATTTATCTATTCCTCTTGCTCTTGGAGCATAGGTCATCCGCGAAACGCTGCGTTTCACTTCACTTTCTTAATCTTTGACAGTCGGTAGGACTCCTTGGACGGGGATCAGTCCGACGCAAGGCCGCTACCTACACAGGACAACACAAACACAGACAGACATCCATGCCTCGAGTGGGATTCGACCCCACGATCCCAGTGTTCGAGCAAGCGATGATATTTCATGCCTTAGACCGCGATGCCACTGTGGTCAGCATCATTAACATACAGCAGGCATGTCCAACGCGTCGATCGCGGGACGATTTTTGGTCGATCTCATAGGCCTATGAGGAAATTATACGTGACATGCATGTAAATTCACTTATAATATAATATGATTATATTCAGATTTTGAAGGGAAAAAACGTATTAGTCATTCTTAGTTTTCTGTTCTTATGTAGCTTACGTGAAAATTGCTTTACACTTGTATAAACTAGGGGGAAGTCCCTACTCTACCCTTATCACGTGTACTCTTTTATTTCATCACTCGTCAGCCGCGTGTGTTCTGAACGTGTGATTCACTTCGTTCCCTCCCTTCAGTCAATTGTGAATCCCAGTACGTTGAACTAACAAGTGAGACGTATTATTATATTAGCTGTTAGTGGAGATTTGTCACAGTGTTGTGCATTAAACAAATACAGAGTCTGGGGATGAGCTCAGTGTAATCAAAGGGACAGTAAGTGCTCTGCTCACGTTATTTTATTAATTTAGAAAGCGTCTGTGTGCGTGTGTCAGATAAAACAGTTACCTCAATGTAGTGGAAAATGCAACGCCTCAGTATCCTTGCCAAAAAAGGGAAATCTGGAACGTCATTATAATGCTCTCCATAGCAATAAGAATGATGCTGATTTTCCACCCAAAAGTGAAATTCGTAAACTTGAGCTCAAAGGACTTGAATCGAAATTAGCTGCTCAACAACAATTCATGGTAAAACCAGGGCCACTTTCTAACAATGCAACCAAAATCATCCTTCAAGGTCAGCAATCTGAACGTTAAAAAATGCAGACCTTTCACTGAAGGGGAACTTGTAAAAGAGTATTCTCTTGAAATAGCTGACAATCTTTTTGAAGGATTTAAAAATAAGAAAGAGATCATAGCTACTATTCAAGATCTTCAGTTATCAAGAAACACCACTGTGCGGCGAATAGAAATGATGTGTGGAAACATAACTGAATAGTTGTCGAAAGATGTTTCCAATTGTGTTGCTTTCTCCCTCCAACTGGATGAATCTACAGACATCAGAGAAACAGTCCAGTTACTAGTTGCTTTTATAAGAATCATATGTCGTGTTATTTTTACCAATATTTTTGCTTAAAGCGAGGTATGACGATAGGAGTTTTGACACTAAAAAGTCGATCACAACCTGTTTGAAGTTGGGCATGCCTGATATAGAGTAACTAAAAAATATAATGGGATGATGTACAAAGTTAGCACAGAAGTGAGAAGCGTTACCAACTGAGCCAACCTGCTCAGTTCGTGTATATCGATAGTACCTTTGTTCAGGATATTTTGGTATAATGTTTCAGGCTCTGACACTCGTAAAAACCTGCGAACCTGTTGCCGATATGCGCGAATGTAGAGCACCGAGGGACTGGTCACTGCTCGCTCTGCAGAACATTCGCACTGGAAAGTCACACTACCTGGTCATCTGCCGCTGTCCTCCCACCAAAATTCTAGGTAAGTTATAAAACATTATTACCAACACCTTCACACGAAGAGATCCGCGTTCTGGAATATAACGCCGTTGAAAGTCAACCGGCGTTCCTTCATCGTAGAAGAACTGAAGCAAGAAACCAGCGTAAAAGCAGGTAGCGAGCCTTCTAAACGTCGGATGACTTTCAACGGACTACAAGGCGTTATATCCCTGAAGACAGAGCACTTCATAAACACCACTGCCAGAACCTCAAATCTTACATAAAGACTACGGTCTTCTGTGATTTGATCTTGTGTAGTTTGGTACACAAATACGAACGCTTTGCACGAATCTGCTGCAACCATCTTCAGGGTAGAAGAATAAGTCAAGCAAGAAACGACAATGAAAGCAGGTGGCGAGTCTTCGAAACGGCGGATGACTTTCAACGGACTAAAAGGCGTTATACCCCAAAAGTAAGAACACTTCATAACCAAAACTCTCAGAACCTCAAATCCTATAACCTTACATAAAGATTACGGCCTTCTGTGATGTCATAAAGTGTAGTTTGGCAGACAAATACGAACGCTCTGCGGGAATCTGCTGCAACCATCTTCGCGGTAGAAGCACAAGCCGTGCTGTGAAGTGCAGTACATGATACAAGACCTAGGTTTGAAGGCAGTGTTGAATCTGCTAGCGTTCTTAAGTTGTTCTCGTAATGGGATTGATGTAAATACACGCGATAATTTAAAAAGCAGCTCCACTACCTTCAACGTGCATTTTCAGTCCCTCTTCTTTTCTGGGTTATGTTACGTACGACGCTGTCCGTACCTAGACTACAAAGCATCTAATACTGACGTAAGAACTTAATAAAGAACTTGAAAAGATTCTGAAGGAAACAGTCGTGTCCTACTCGTGGTAGTACTCCGGAATTTGCCTCGAGGAACAGAGGAAACTCACCAACAAACCTCAGAATAATCGGCGTTCCGGCCGTTACTTGAATCCAGCACCTCCCCAAAATGAGTCTACAACGTTGCCGCTACGTTCGACTTTTCATTCTTCTTCTAAGACTTTGCAGGCGAATTAAGAAACCGTAGCTTCGAAGAAGCTTGCACTATAAAGCAATTCTTTCTATTGAATCGTAGATCTATTCATATTGTAGCGTCCTGCTGCACATCACTTAGTATCAAATGGTGTTGGTTTCACCGTCTCGCGTGCAAGATGTATATTTATACTTACTTACTCATGGAGCTGAGCTCTTTTGGAGGAGCTTCCAATTCTGCAGCTACTCAAGAATTTCCCAGCATTTTATGGAACCCGAAGGTTCATTACCGCGTTCACAAGAGCCCTCCACTGGTCCCTATCCTGAGACAGATCAATCCAATCCATACCATCCCATCCTATTTCTCTAAGATCCATTTTAATATTGTCCACCCAGCTACGCCTTGCTCTCCCCAGTGGTATCTTTCCTTCCGGCTTTCCCACCAATATCTTGCTAAAACGTATCCACTTTAACATAACATTTAACTTATCAAAAGTTGTTTTTTTTACTGTTTCCACCATATAAGTTTCCTCAACTATAATTTTAAACATCTGATGATGACCATATTGATCGAAACATGTAGTGAAAAAAATTCTAAAAGTTAAAAAAGTTACATGATGTGTAAAGCTTTTGAAGTGAATACCTTTTAGTTTAACAGAAAGATGTGTTGCACGTGAGATGGTAGAGGTAAAGTTGTCCCTGTGCTTAACTAATTAATCACTGCGCCATGAAGGCGTATGGGGGAGTGGGTGTATAGATTCACATTTTATTGGCCCCGGCACTAGCTGGAGGTGAATTGTGAGCTTCACGCCCCGGGGAAAGAACCCCTGAAACCTACTGAACAGGAGATTGGGTGGACCCTAGAGACGGTCTGGACGACGTGGAGAAGACAAAATTCTTGACCCTACCGGGACTCGAACCCCTATCGACTACGCTATCCCGGCTTTCGTGAGACGGTTATCTACTCATAATTTACTGCGACGTTTATCAATATAGGCTTATGCCACTTTTACAGTATGAATGGAATGAAGAAATGTTCCTCATCGCTGCCAGCTTCAGGTTGTTTCACTTGTACTCTCAGTTGTCTTCATTCCTGCCAGTTGCAAGACTGTTACTTGTGAATTCAGTGTTCTTTATTTCTGTCAACTTGAGACTGTTTTACTTGTGCTCATAGCTTCTTCCGCCTAGCCGGTGACATTATCGGACAACCACCCCAACTGCGCGCTCAGCCAATTGTTCCTTCATTGTCCACGGTTGAAGAGATCGTCCGTGATCGTGACCGAGGTAGCTAATTCAGCGACAAACAATTCACAGCTACTCGCTCCCTTCGTATCTCTCATAATTCGCGAAACAAATCTAGGAAAAATCCTTGGCTTCCCGATTTCCTTATATTTAACGGTTTCGACTGAACAGAAGTAGACCAGACAGTGACAAACTGTTTCTAGGAACCATAACGGTTCGTAAACATATTCTGCTTACTGTGGCTATCAAGGTGATGCGTTAACGATTCTTGGTTACAGAATAACTTATCTGAGCGTATCGCTTACAAAAGATCGACACAAGAGCGTGAATTCTGCCATGCTACTTTGATCAGTGAAGCAAACGATAAAATCCTAAATGAACTGCCTGCCATGTAATTCCGACGTATCCTTATAGAACTCGTAACAGATTCGGTATTATAATTTAAACACCCTTAATAAATAAAAATAAATTAAGATCTGAGGTTATCAAGGCGGTTAACATGAAGATTACGTGACGCAGTGCAGATACGTGGATACGTCATTATCTTAAAGATGGAGGTAGCATGATCCTCAGAAGCACTGCTAAATATGCAGCAAGCTAGATGACGTCACTTCCCACAAGGCACTAGTCTTCAAAACAAGATTACGGATTCAGTTCTGAATAATTTGTCTACTTGACTCCGAGCTAAAAATTGCTCAGAACAGGGCCCAATGGCGGGACTTTGTTTGGCAATGAACATTCGAGTTCCATGAAATACCGTCTAGAGGGAACAGGATACTAAATTTCGAAAAGCGACCGTGTTTGTTGCATAACAGATTCTGGAAAGGATGAAACAGATTATTAATCAAATCAACGGTACAACATTATCAAAGAGTATTACCATAAACCGAGTTGAAATGTTCTCAAAAACATCTGACCTCAGTAGCCTATTTATACTGCGATACTAAACTTGAATACACTGTGCAACAAGTAGTTCTGCTAACGAGAATAAATTGTTTTTAGAAAGGTAAAAAGTTAAGTATGAGTGGAGTGGAGTGGCGGTATTGCTCCACCATTCTTGGTCCCGGCACTAGACGGACTTCAGTGGACAGCTTCACACCACGGCTGCTTTACTACCGGGGAAAAGAAACTGATACACATAGAATAGGGGGCTGGGTGGATAAGAGGCCTGGTATGGACGCTGGTGGTGAAGATAAAAATCTTTCCCTTGACGGGAATCTAACCTCGGCCGTCCACCCCCTGAGCCTGTCGCTATATCAACAGAGCTATAAAGGCAAAGTTGCTCTATAAATAACATTTTGTCAAAAATGCCCTTCAACATTAATCAGGATGATCTTAAATGCTGCAAATCGGTAGAAGCTTCAAAAAAAAAAGATCTCTAGCTAAAGTTTTGCACAAATGATCCCTCCACTGATCCATTCATATACATGAAAGCACAATTACTGAATATGTACGTCATTAACAAACCACAAAAAAGAAAAGGAAAGGCCAATATTGCAGTCAACTGAAGAACCAGTGCCCCTCACTGGGGTCTAACGGTCCTATCCCTAACTACCAACGTTGACTTCTATAAAACACAATATTGACAGAATAACTAAAGACTGTCAAAGTCTGACCTTCATATTTGTGGACTTTTCCCCCCCACAATACTAAACGAGATATCAATGGAGAAACGGGTTACAGTAATATCATACTGTCATGTGCAGGAGTGACTAATAACGTTGGTTATGGATTAGATGAATGGGTTTATTTACTCCTTCCACATAACACCAGTAATTACTTGTAATTATGGCACTATCGCTATTTGTACACTTTATAATTCACTGATTAAAACACAGGAATTACAAGTCTCAATCACACTCAGATATTACACATAAAGTCTTCTCTTCATAGCTGCCATTTTGCAACTAACTCTTAACTACACTGCACTACACTGCACTGCACTCTGCACTCTTTTCCATGACGGCTTCGTGTCCTTAACTCACGGCTTCTCAGCTGCCACTGCTTGCAAACGACTTTTGTTTACCCTTATACACCTACTGCACAGACCACATATAGAAAATATCTTCTATTATTGTGGGCATGTTTGCAGACCTGTTGCCTACCACTGGGCATGGCTCAAAACACACTGGAAATACAAATCACGTGATTCCTACCCAGCTAGTTCATTGGGGCGCTGACTGTTGCCTAGGAAAGAGCTGTATCATTCGTTCTATTGTTGCATGCGCCTACTGTGGGGTGTTTATCCAGCCACTGCCTGGCACTGCGTTGACATGTCACAATACCAAAGATCATGTAAGATAAAGAATAACTGCAAATGCATATTCAAGGCTAATAACACATTTCAGGTTATTCTTGAAAATTTTCATGAATATTCTCGGTCAAATGATACTGTTGACCATGCTAAGTATATAAATTACACGTTTAAACAATTACCATCACCTTGAATAATATATTTTATGTGAGTTTTTAGCTTACAGGGTTTGGGACGTGATGGTGTGTAGTACTGAACCTACTGAATTTTGGGTAATATCCTGAAGATGGTGGCAGCAGGTTCCTCTAAAACGTCGGTACCCATCTACCATATTACATGGCATCAGATTCCAAAATACAGTAAATGCAGATATATTTTATGAATAATTTTTCACTCTTGTTTAAGAAATTAAAAAAATTCCCTTATTTTACTTTACTCTCATTTCATCAGATACCTTGAAATTACAAATTACAAGTTCTGCGCTAAAAATTTTGGCATTCACATACAGGTAATAAAATCTATACCTTCTGTTGTTAATATAGAAGGCCCTATGAGTCATGACCAACCAACATATGCCAGTGTACCAGGAATCAGAGTATATGGAATGATGTGTGTTCAAGTCAATAACAGAAGAGGCCGACACCTCCGGTTTCAGAGATCAAGTACACGTAAGTTGAGACAAATTACAATTTAATAATATAACAAAACACATGCACTTCAATGGAACAAACAGTGTATCCATAAAATAATGAAACTATGTCCCTGTAAGCTAATTCAATATAGGAAAGCTAGCTTTAAGATGTTGTGGCTGAAATGCAATTTATGAGACCAACAGCAAAACACATTTCAAAGTTCCGTAACAGAAATGATGACATATTAAAAGAATTAAACCACAACCCACACTGGACAAAATGTATAAATATTAAACCAACTGGATTCAACATATTGACAGAATTAAATTAAACTGTTAACAAGAAGTTCCATAAGAACTAACCGCCTATTTTCTTTGATATGATATGGAACACATAAAAAACACTGTGCCCAACAGTTCTTCCATTTTATGTGTATTCGCTGCTGTGGGAAAGAGCTTATCGAGCTGTTGCTAGTAACGGTGGTCCCTTCTGACTCCACGATTCTGTCATGTCACGTTGCATTCAGAAACTGATATGGGGGTAAAGGAGCACACAGACGGCAAGGTGCTCTGACGAACCTTTGGTATCTGCAATGGCCATGGAATATATTTACCAAGCTATTGCCTAGAAAAGATGGGGGGGGACTCACACACACACAGACAGCAATGTGATCTCATACGTCTCCTTTCATTATTCAGAATAAGAAAAGTAGGCTAAAAATCATTAAACACATAGATAAAGTAACTACAGAAGACCTCTGAAGATACTGCCAAACAAATGAAGCCAGAATGGGTCAACAAGTGGCCCAGCCCCAAGGCTGCTAGATGATTATGAAAAAGTTAAAATTGAAACCAATATCTGCCACATTCTCATGCATATGGTACAAGCACACCAACAATAAAATATGCCAGTGTAACCATATCAAGGATGATGAGATGGTGACAGATGTAGCACATACAGAAAAGATGAGAAATTGATGCAACATTTTTCTCTGAAATCCTGAAGCAAAAAGACCATTTTGCAAACCTAGGCACAGATAGAACAGTAAAAAATGGGGTTTCAGTATAAGAATCAGACACAACCAGCTCAGGAATGCATGCCATGGTGGTATGTGGTGACAAACCTTCAGATTGAACAAGGGTCAGGAATTTCTTGACCAGCTAAGCAATTATCAGTATCAAAAAAGAACCCTGCTCTATATAGCAAGTTAACCAGATGTACACTTTTATATTAAAGTACTCATTTCTTGACAAAGGAGTCAGATTTACCAAAGGAAAATTAAATCAGCTTTCAGATTCTAGCATAGAAACAGGAGCCATTAAAATTTTTACAAAACGACTAAAACAACTGATTACTCATACCAACAAAACATACTATCCCAAAAGCAAAACTCAAGAACTGAATATACTTTTCACGAAAGTATTAAAATTACAGAAAAATACTATATAATAACTTTTGATCAGGATGTCTTAAGATGAGAAATATTCTAATATAAATTACAGCCACAAAACACAAACTGCCCAAAAGATTAGAATGCTGAATTTTAACACTCTTTTCTCAAATTCAGCAATAGTCTCAACTGTAATATACTGTGGCAAGTAGACCCGTTGATAAGCAACGGCCATGACACAAACAACTACACAACGGCCGTTACTAGGCAACAGCCCATAAACAGCAACACAGAAACTGTGTTCTTTGTGTGGTCCGTGCTGAGATGTTATTATAAGCAGACAGTTAGGGAGAAGTTGAGTCAGATGAACTGAGCTGAGTTAATTGAAACGGTTATAATTACTTGCAGTTAAGAGTTTAATAAATCCAGTTGCCAGTCGAAACCCCGCCTATAGTCATTCCATATTTTGTATTCATAATGGTATATTTAGTTTGTATTTAGCAATTATTTGGACAGACTGCTGCCAAAAAGGCTGTATTACAGCGGTGGGGTTTAATGCAAATTGTGTATATGGTAACTGTGATAATTCTGTTCAGTTCACTCGCTTGTGTGAGGATGGATTTCAAAGCATGAATACATAGAGATATATGTACCTATCAGCCGTGGATTTTAAATAAAGAAGTGTAATTCTTATTTCTCCAATCATAAACATACATCCACCACTATAAAATTTAAAAATATTATTATAAATACTATTCAGAAATCCTTATGATACTTTTTATCACATAGAATCATTACTTGCTCTTTTCCTTTTCAGTACCATATTATACAATAGGAATAACACTTAAATACTGTATTGATTGCTAATTAGTGTCTAGTGATCATATACTTGGTTCCTTAGAAAAAGTGCAAAATAATTCAATATTTTTAGCATTGAAAGTATGCTTAAATAATATGTTATCAACAGTCAACACTTAGCGCCTCAACTGCTAACACAAAGCATTTTGGTAAGGAAAGAGTGCAGATATACTATGATGGAAATGGACGAAAAACATGGTCACTACAGAAATAAACCCATCAGACTGTCGATCTTCAAGCAGAATTCTGAAATTCATCAATAGCAAAATGTTTAGCATGTGCAGCGACATCTATGAACTGCTTTCGGTACTAAAGATGATAACAGTGACTGAATCTTATCCACAGAGAAATATTTTTCACCACAGTACTTAAGACTTTGAGGTATGAATTTCTTCTAAATTATATCATCATCACTGGCAAGACAGCTCTTTTTGAGCCAAAGCCTTCCTTAGAAGATTCTGCCAGATTGTATCCTGTTTTCACTCCTTCAGATTTCACAACAGTAATCTTTTACAGAGGAAGGTTGTCAGCCTTGTATTCAACCCCTAACCTACAGGACCGGTTCTCTGTATCTGTCCCTTGCCAGTGACAGGGTGGTCTAGGTATATCCCCAGGAACCAGGTTTCCTTTTTGTCACCTTCTATGACTCACAGGGTGAAAGTATTCTAAGCCTGCTTCCACAAAGGGATCTAAATAATATAGTACAGAAGAAATGAAACTTTATCCATGTAAATAAAAAAAGAATTTTGAACAAGGATATGAACTGCAATCACAAACAACAGAACACAACTTTCTCCTCACTGAAGCAGCCTCAGGTATCACACAGGCTTCATATAGTACTCAGTAAATTTCAAAATATGTTTGGCTCTTCTCTACTCTGGCCATAGTAGGAAAGAGAAAACTGAAAGAATATGGACAGGAGAGTTACGTTTTATGTATATTAGAAATGTAAGTCAAAATGAGTCTTGTCCCATCTTGGCTCATACTGACACAAAAATACCTGTGTCCATTCTTATTCTGTGGAAACCAAATAAGATTACAGATATTCTTAATTTGTAGGATCCTATAGCATTAAATGCAGACATATGATGACCTTGGTGCCAACATAACAAATAACAGATTGTTGAATTTCAGGTTCAATGCCACCGTTTCCATGGAGGAAAGTGAATGAAACGGCCCATATATTACATTGGGATGACTGAAGGTTTCATTTCAACCTCAAAACATCAAGCAAAAGGTCAAGACCAGTCAGTCATGTATAATGGAAGACAAAAATGTTTTAACTCCAATGATGAAAATCCTCAGTTCACAATTAAGATATCTGAACAAGATATAGTGAAGACTGAACAGCCAGAAATGAGGAATGGAAAGAGATTTTACCAAGATTTATTTCTGGACAGGTGGATATGAGTGAACTGGGATATACAAGCAAAACCACAACTAATCCATTCCATGATGCATGGAAATATTTCTGCCAAATCAGGTTCTGTAAGTCCCTCAAATATTGTACAATGTTTTCTACATATCACTTCCGTTAAAAACAATCATTTAGGAGAAAAAGCATAAAAGTAATGTTTATTTTCTTAAAATTAAATTTTGTTGCATATATATCTGTACTTAGAAAGAAACTATTTATTAAACCTGAAAATTATTAACAGTGGCAGTGCAGGTGTTTCCATCTGTATCCAGCTTTATGTGTGCATAATATACAGATTGATTACTTTAAAACAATATATTAACTTCATATATAATTAAGTATGTTAGCAGATAATTCTTAAGCTACAAAATATATTTAAAATCAGACGCACATAAATTTGTGTAAAAGCCATTTTATATAGAAAACTGTAGGTATAACTCTTCATTTGCACCTTTCCTTTATGTCAAATCATGATCCTATTATGACTAATTAAACAGCGAATGTTGTTCACACAGAAATTTGGACTGCCAGCCCAGTTCATTTGTCACTGCCACATCAGCTTCACCTCTGAATTCAGCACAATGAATGACGCATATTTATTAACATAGCACACCCTAGTGTTATGGAAGAGACATGCTCCTGAAAATCCAATTTCTTCCACACACTGCAATTTTATAAGTGCAAATGTGTTCCTACAGAAGGGTTTACAAACTACACTTGTAGTAAAAACATGCTGTTTCAATTTGAGGTTCTCACAGAGGAGGTTATGAGAGTTCTATCGTCTGGGGCATAATGCCATGCAGTCCACTGAAAGTCAGCCGACTTTCCAGAGAAACATGTCATCTTCATCTTCATCTTCAGGGTCGAAGAATCTCTGCTTGCCAGCTGTTTTCAGGCTCGTTTTTTACCCCGAAGATAAAGGTGACAGATTCCTCTGAAAAGTTGGTTGATTTTCAATGGACAGCATGGCGATATATCCCAGGCTGAATCAAGTTCTACACCATATATAAGTCCTTTCCTTCACATGCTCTTGTAGATTTACTACTTATGCATGAATTTGATGGCCTCTTTCCACACACCTTAAATAAGGATAATGGAACACAGTCAAGAAAAAGTTGGTAGCAGAAACCATGCTACAGCCAAACCTCAAGATTACTGATGCATGCAGACAGGCTAGACAATGCTCAGCGACATTTCCTGTTATGTCACAGATGCAAGCATATATGCAATCACAATTTCTTTACTAATAACCATTTCTTACATAAATATCTTTGACTGAATTTCTTGTTGCCATTTTATGTTTAAAAATATTTGAATACTTAAACTACACTTTCTTAAGGGTGAAATTCTGTAACCTGATCATCCATAACTCAAGGGCAGACTGTATGTCAGTCATATTCCTGCCCTTTTCATTATGATGAATTCAGTGGTTTGTTTTTGGTGTTGGCACAATCCAAATGGGTTTGGGATTTGGTAGCCACAACTAGAAAAGGAAGTGGCACAACGGGATGGTGGATGCAGTTTACAGTATAGAAAACGGAAACATCTGAGCTATCATGTAACAAAAATGCCTATCAAATGGTAAAGGCTTTGCTAAGGAATACTTCTGATAATCTTGACACATTTTGTTGAACTCTAGTAATATTTAGTTAATTCATATTTCAGAGTACTTCAGTGTGAAAAGCAAAAAAATATTCATCACAACTTTCATCTTCTACTGTTTTAAATTCAGTAAAAAGTTATTTTTGTTTATAATTAAAAACTCTGTAAACTTTACAACTTTTTTGAAATGCCAAATTTTCATTAGTGTGAAAATTTACATTATAGTCTTCTGGGTTTTACTACTGTGTAGCCTCACAGGTTGTTCACCATTGTGAACCCTGCAGACAGAGGCATTCATGACCACCCACAGCTACACATCAAAATCCAGATGGCCATAACCTAAGTTGATAACTTTCTTATTGCAGCAACTACAACTAAGGTATGTTTACCTTCTTCACATCAAAATTCAGTTTAAATATATATCAGAGTATGCCTAAAAATTAATGCATGATAAGCTTTTCTAGCAAAAAGAAATAGTAGCATACCTATGCAGAGCTTCTATTGTCACTATTTCACCTATCCTTTGCACTGTAAGGATAATGGTGGACTGGTGCGTAGATCACAGTTCAGCTTTCTTTGTACTATGAGCCTGCTTACTACATATTTAAAATATAAGGAATATACATAAGTCCAGAATTTGTATTATTTGCCTTATTCCTTCAGGGGGTATGTGGTAACTTAGTTGGTTGAGGCACTATGCTACAAACCGGAAGGTTTGAGTCCTGATGAGGTGGATTTTTTCAATTTACCTAATCCATCCAGCCGCACTATGGCCCTGGGGTCAACTCAGCCTCTAACAGAAATGACTACCAGGAATGTTCCTGGGGTGTAAAGGATGACCAGCGTGTAAGACTGACAACCTTGCCGCCATCTGTGAACCAACTGTGGGAGCCTCAATTTCTCACAACCCTATGGGCCTTAACAGCCTGTTACGGGGATAACTTTACCTTTATTTTATTCCTCGAATACAACGATTTCTACTAGAGACTACAAGACAGTGTTTAACTACGTTTTCCATACTAACATCATTTCCTTCAAGAGTAATTCAAATTCAAACTCATACTGCAGAAATACTGTTCAGGTTTACACTATATGAAACAATTTACTTTTAACTGGAGGCATTTGTAATGTTTTATGTGCATATACTTTCTTGGGATGGGGGGGAGGGGATACAAACACTTATCTGTTTTCTTCTAAAAAAATCCTTAAGGTTTTCATGGCGATGGTAACATTCGGGGGGGGGGGATACAAACACTTATCTGTTTTCTTCTAAAAAAATCCTTAAGGTTTTCATGGCGATGGTAATATTCTGACGGTGGTCTTTCGTGTTATGACACCATGTGCCGTGTTTCTGTGGGTAGATACCAACATTCTGGAGTAACATGCTGCCTCCACCCTCAGAGTTGGAGTACACAGGGCAAGGAATCAGTTGGGTTATGTAGCCATGTTTTAATCAGACTCCAGGTAGAGTAGGAGGACACAGAGCCCGGCATAGGCTAGCAGGAATGGCAGAGAGGAAAATGGCCATTCTCAGGACCAAAATATGTTTCTCTTCAGGGTAGGAAAATTAATTTTTGAGAAATTATGGCACTTTACTGGGCCCTAAGATCAAGAAGTGAAAAATACCTGGCTCATTAGGGAAGAAACAGAGGTTGGGCTCCAACATAACAACATGAAGGGCAGGACACATTATTCTTGAGAAGGTCCTGGAAGTTTCTTATCCACTCCCTGAACAAAAGAAAGAAGGTGGTTCTCTCCAAAAGTAAAATAGTTATCTTCTCCTGAAATGATATTCTTCTGCCTGTTCCCTCAACGAAGAAGAGAAAAGGGATTGTTTTTGGCTTCCATTTTCCATTCACAGGGGCCCTAAAAAGGATCATCATCTCTCAAAATTCAATTTCCCTTTTGTGACAGAGAAACACACGGTGGCCTCTAAAAGGGCCATTTTCCTATTCACAATTCCTATTGGTCCAGACAGAGTTCTATCTCCCCTTCCCATCTGGTGGATCTCAACAACCACCTTCTTTGCAACCTGGCTCTATAACCTCACCAACTCTATGTCCCATACATTTTACCCTGAAGATGGAGGCAGCATATTCTTCCTAAATGTTAGTATTTATCTACAAGAATACATGATGTCACAGTTCTGCAGACCACAAACTGGTAAACAAGTCCATCATCTCAGCTTTGAAAATGTTGCCTTAATAACTGATTGCAGCCTCAATATTTTTTTGTAAAAATATTTCAGTAATTTTCAGACTGGACTTTTAGCAGTTACTATAGGATTCTGACGATGGAGTATAAGACACTGATATCTTGGGTTTTTGGACTTTACCCAGTGATTGAGGCTAGCTCTTTCTAACGGACCCAAGAGAATAGGTGTTTTCCTTCACCTGAGGACGGAAACAGATCCAGTTTCTGAAACGTTGTGTTTTTATTAGTTACCTTAAAAACCAGGACGATGGATAAAGTCCAAAAACCCAAGATATCAGTGTGGACTTTTAACATTTGTAAAATTACATAAATATTTTGAACAGAATACAGAAACAATATATAAATGATATAAAATACAGAAGTAATATTATGCTACATGAAAATGAATGAAGTAAAATTGAGGGTAAACGGGAGGATAACATTAATGGGAGCTATTACAGAATATTACTTCCTATTCAACAGGTACTGATGGATACAATAGCCAAAACTTAAAGCTGACCACCTAATTCCATAACTCCACCACCCATAAATGTATAGATTTACCTCCACTCCCCAATGTGTCCTCATGGAATGGCAGTGAAGCAGAGGAAAAAGTTTTCCTTTACCTTAACTTAGGAATATATATTGCCAATGAGAATGAACTAGTTCAGGTCATGTTCAATGCTATTAGCAGCAGTAAATCTCAGAGTTCTATTGGTCAGTTGGGAGTAAAAACATAAAGTCATTAAAGTGAAACAAACTTCCTACTCTGTAACCAGAACTGTACTAGGTCAGAGGTAAAGTTCAAAACTGAGTATGTGGTAATGTGCTGTCTAGTCAAGGTTATCAAAAACACCAGGAGGCAGTGGCACATGAGTGGCACAATGGTGAAATAATGACTGGTGAAAGAACTTAGAGAACAACCTGTTCCAGCACCACTTTATCCACCACAAATCTCACATAGTCACCAGTGAACAAACCCAGGCCACTACAGTGAGAATCACTACACTAATAACTAATGAAAGCATCTGTCAGAACAGAATAAATTCCAAAACAATTTATTCCCACAAACTTATCGCCTTTTTGCACACAAATCACACCAATTAAGCTTAAGATTCTGCCTTAATTAAACTCCCAGGCATTCACATTCTCAAAGAAGTTGTAAAACAGTAACAGACACACACAAAATTATGCATACAAACAAATATTCTTAGAATTAACACACTATTCTGTAACCTGCAGGTGTGCACATATTTCCTATCAATCTAAGAGCATCTTAAAACACTAAGAGCCAGACTAAAAAACAAAACACCTCAGGTGAGAGTTACCAATTTTGTTAGCAAAACGACAATTTAAACATCTTCATATACATAGTAATAGCCTTTTGCACTCATGGTGAACCCAACACGCCACTGATAGGGTACTGAGAGACGAATGACAATATGATGGGCAAATAAAAGGTATGGGGAAGGAATAAGAAAGAAATACATGCTGAAAACACAAACAAATGGGGCGCATGGACTACCATTAATAAAAACATCACAGAAAAAAGAAGGAAAGAACATGGAAACAAAACACACAAAAAAAACAAGAACCTACAATAACTGAAAGGCCAAACAAATTATACAGAAATAACTTTCATAAATGCACTGAAAACATAATCAATGTCACTTTCACAAATGACGAAATACAACTAAATCCTAAATGAAGGCCAAAAATCTTGTATACTTTACAAACGTAAAGATTGGGCAAGGCACTAGCATAAAAACTAATGATGAAACAACATCCACTGGAAAATAAATGCCTCATACCACAAACAAAATTAGAAACACAAAAGACAGAACTCAGCCACAATATAAAAAAGAAAATTAACAAAAGCCATTTAGTCATAACAAAGGTAACATCAAAGTCACACTATATGGAGATGATTACAACAAAGTCACACAAAACAATGTTACAGAGCTATCACATGACATGCCAATCACAGTGGTCAAGCGATCTAAAGCATGAACAGTCTCTGCCTGCTTAAACACCGGGGTCATGGGCTCGAATCCCACTTGAGGCATGGATGTCTGTGTTTGTGTTGTTCTGTGCATAGGTATAGGCCTTGCGACAGGCTGATCCCCTGTCCAAGGAATCCTACCGACTGTGCATAGGATTAAAAAACTGAAAAGTGGCCAAGACCCAACAAAGAGCTGTAGAGTCATAGCTAGACAGATAGATATACTGATCACATGACATTACTGAAAAACTACAAAAGGCAATAAGGAATATAACTAATACATGCAATCTTATAATTAACAAAAACCTGAAATGGAAACACACAAATATCCACCTTCAATCACAACACGCAGCACAGTACAATAAAACTACACAAGAATCATAAACAAATCCAATCAATTGTTAACTGAAAAGACAGCCCCAGCTAGAAGCTAGCAAAACTCGTTAGCATCTCCACTAAAAGACAGGATACAATTTGTACAGATTGCCTAGTGTTGTTAGGATAATGCAATTGAAGAAGACCAAGTAGACTGTTGTAGCAGTAACAGTCTAGAAGAGTATTTGAGAGGTGCTTCATTTGAATGTCAGCAAGCCACCAGCTATCCAGAATGTTGCTTCTGTGGCTTTCCTCATTTCCTCCAGGAAAATCCCAGAGCTACGCTGCAAATGTTTCCTTCTGAATTCCATTTTACACTACACATTGTACGTACTGACAGCATTGTGAAATAACCCATATCAGAATCTAGGATGCCATGAGAGGCTGAAAAATTCAGCTCAAGTGTGGAAGACAAAGAACACATACACATTTCTGGTATGGAACCTACTTGGAAAATGGTCATTTGAATGAGCTTTTGTATCAGGAGTGTCAAACCATGGGTCCTAACACCCACAGTTGCTAACACTGCATTTTGCACTACATGCAATATAGAAACAAGAAACTGCACTAAAGCCTCAGCTTTAGCTGCATTAAAACCAAAATATGTTCTTCTATAATGATTCATCTCCAAAGTGTGAAATTCATCTTGCAGGAAGATTTATCTCATGTGTGTGATAACCTTGACTAGGCAGCACATTATCACAACCTTGGCCTCCATGTTTGGAGCTTCATTGCTGACTGTCTGACTCGTTACAAAGTTAGTAAATTTATTATTTACGACTTTTTCTGTACCAGGGATTACATCTATTTCTCATCCGGAAAGTGTGCACTGAAAATTGTCTATGCAATGCTACTTCTCACAACCAATATGTTCTGTCTGCCTCAAACATCTCTGTAGGCACATACTCTGAACAAGCAAACTTAGAGAGCTAAAGTCATGTGTGTTGCACATTTCAAGTATGGCAATTCACATCTAGTGACTTTCTGATGATGATGTAATGATCTGTCAGTGGCTCTCAAACTCTGTGAAACCACAGCCCAGTAAATTCTTTTTTTATATGACAAGGGCCTGGTATAATTGTTGCCAGGGCCCGTTACCAGGCAGCGGTCCAGATGTTGAGAAACACTGATCTATGTCATTATCTGATCATGAAACACCCTCAAATATGTTTTAGACAGTTTACTGACCTACTGTGGATAAACTTATTTATCCAATAAACTTAACTTATTCATTCTGGACCGTCACACAAGTAAACTAAATTACAGAATAATTGTTAACACCATCCTGTGTGATTTGATCTGTTGATATTTACTACCTTTACATGTTTCGGTCAGCTGGCCATTTCAGAAGGCACAGATCAACATGTTCAGGAACTACTGTTACAGAGTTCATTAATACATACGTAGAAGTTTGTCTATAAAAAGTCATTTACAATTATCTGGATTAAAATCTTATTAATGACTAACATTTAAGATATTGAACCAATAAGTTTGGCATTCTTGTGCCTCTTCTGTTAAAATGGAAAGCTGTGGTATTATTTGGAGTTCTCAGATAAATCTCAAATAAATTCAGGGTTATAGAAAAACAATGAGAGCATACAATACTCATTAATATAATTGCAGATTAACATCAAGCTTAAAAAGGAAGCATGACTGTGAGGACCTCTGAGGACTCCGAATAACACCCCAATATTCCATTATAACAGAAGAGGCACAAGGACACAACCCATACTGGTTTAAGATCTTAAATATTATACATTAATAAGATTTTAAGACAAATAATTCTAAATAACTACTTTCTATAAAACTCCTAAGTATGTATTACGAACTTTGTAATAGTAGTTCCTGACCAAGTTGATCTTATGCCTTCCCAAGATGGTCAGCTGATCAAAACATGTAAAGGCAATAAATATCTATAGACTGAATCACACCGGATGGTGTTAATTATTATTCTATAATTTCAGAATGGATAATTTTCAGTCAAGTGTGACATACAAGTTTACAACACTTCAGTCTTTTTCACCTTACATGTTTCGATTCAAAAGAAACATCCTGAGAGGCGCAACACTACGATCAGGAAACACTGTCACATAAGATGTTTTAACCATATGCACTTAAGCTATACATAATGCTCAGTATATAAATTTGTTGTTATCATGGTTGGTTTGGTGTTTTCATAGCTTAAGTGCATATGGTTGAAACATCTTATGTGACAGTGTTTCCTGATCGTAGTGGTGCGCCTCTGAGGATGATTCTTTTGAATCAAAACATGTAAGGTGAAAAAGATTGAAGTGTTGTAAACTTGTATGTCACACTGGACTGAAAATTATCCACTCTGTAATTAGTAGTGTGATGGACCAAAATGAGACAAATCAAATTATTCTATACTTTATTTACCCAAAGTAGGAGGTAAGTAAGCTACGTTTAGGTGCTAGAATTTACTACCCAACTTCTAAATACTAAACCTCTAATATGTAATATGCTTGCTGCAAAATAATAAGCTGTTGGTATTTCAGATGACTTTATGAGTTATGCTTCATTGTAAAATAAACATTAGACTTAACTAAGTACTTTGAGCTTCAGAATATACTATACAGCTGTAGTTATAGAAATATAATTTAAGAACAATTACTTTTCATTTCAACAATAAAATTTAAGTTATTATTTATTTGATTTGGATGGTGCCGTATGATGTAAATAAATTTCAATAATTTATTATTTTTAGAAAAGTGTGGAGTTAATTCATTGCATCACTACTGAAGTGTTCATCATACAATCAGAATCTATACTTTATCAATAAATTTCAAAACACCCTGCCTCCAAACCTCCCCCCTCTAATGAACATTAAAAGAAAAAAAAATATGTTCAAGATACAGCAGAAATTATGTTCACTCACTTGGCTGAGCAAAATTTCATGAAATAATTCACACTCGCTAGATTTCTGTGACAGCAGATGTTTATATATTTGTGCCCCATTTTTTAATCACTTGATAATGATAACTAATTTCCTTAGAATGTCATTCGATAACAATATCCATCTTGCTTCAATTACAGTATATCCTCGATTTAGAAGACTAATTATGGGGTGAGGGGTGTCTGATATTGCCAATGTCCATAAAATAGCCCCTGTATGAAACCGAATGTCTAACCAAAATTCCAATTTCTCAAGCATTTCTAACTTTTGTTTCACACTCAAGTTTTGTCTTTTTCTTTCTGTCCATGGTATATTAATTAAAAAATAATTTGTAACACAGAACAAACCAAACACAGCACAACATAAATTTAATTTGCAATAGAACAATCTATGAACTACATGTTACATCCGCAGCACGACTGATGAAGTGTACACACAACATATCGACCACACTATTATGGTGAAGTACCAACATATTAACCAGAAAATAAAGGGGAAGTACCAAAGAATTTTGCCTGTTAAATCTGAAACCCATTAAACTAGGGTGCATTAAAGCGAGGATTTACTGTACTGTGATAATCCAATCTGCTGAAACAAGTTACAGGCTGTGTATAACTGTCATTAAACAATATCAGAGTGTTATATGACTCACCCAGCACTTCTGCGTTGACCTGGATGTTGCAAGTGTACATGGCTGCCATGAGTCGCTGTGGCTGAGCCTGGAATGCCCTCCTACAACCTTCTTTAACTGCTGACATCATCTGTCCTGAAAACGGTCCATAGGGTTGACTGCCGCTTGTAGTCTCACTGAAAATCAAATTTGATTCTAAGCAAATCTTCAGCAATTAAGTCTCGCATTACAACTGATTTCAGCGTTCTTCCTGCAGCTTCAGGCATCACAACATTGTGGGTACTCACAGCACTGAGGAACTACTCAGAGCAAAAATTATTCATAATGGTAATAAGTGAATTATAGCATCAGTTATTTCTACAGTCTTACAGGCAACACTAATGTTCTATAAAACTTATTAAAAGCTATTCACTTTATAAGTTTCATGCTACATGTTTTGACCAGTGTGGTCATCATCAGGTACTAAAAATTATGGATGAGGAAACTGCTTTCTTCTGTATCAATGCTTAGGTTGTTAATATATAGTACCCTCAGTGGGCATGTGTCTTTGTGAAGGCGAGTTGTATTCCTTCTGTCATGTTACGTTGTGTTCAAAGCACATGAAAACCAGACATTCAGCATAACACAACAGTTGGGAATACAACCCATAGAGGGGAGTGGTCAGCCTCACACTCCTGCCGCTTTACATACAGGGAAAGGGCCCCCAGCACCCACTGGATAGGAGGCGGGGTGGACCTCAGAGACAGTCTGAACACCGTGGAGCAAAGAAAAATTTTTTGCCACAGCCCAGCACTATATCAAGTGAGGTATCCTGGCTCCTCCATACACTTATGAGATAACTGTATATCTCAGCAGTTTGCTTCAGTAAATAACTTAAATAATTAAAGAGATACATGTTTTGTTTGCTTGTAACTTAAAATGTGAACAAATGGATATGGATGCATACCTAGTGGACAGTAGGTCTAGTTGAGATTTGTCAGCTAGTGTCCAGTCCTCAACAATAAAGCAGACACCCATAATGGGTTCCTCACACAAAGGTCCTGCCAGTGTTGCCAGCTGGAATCCATTAACAAAACTGCTGTCATACTCAAGGCGAGGGTCAGAGCCATGCAGCCTCTGCCATATTGCTGGACGGTCATAATCAGATACTCTGTTCAGTAATACATTAGGACCACATCGCCTTGGGCCTACACTCCAAATTTGGTTTTCTGCACCTTTCCATTCATCACCAGCAGCAGAAAATGCATCTTTCAACCTCTCTTTCAATGTCTCAATTGCTTTCAATGTTCTTTCTGTAAGCACCATTTGATTTCCACTTGTGTTATCTGAAGGAAAGTCTTCAGACTTTTGACTGCTCTGTTCTTCTGTCTGATGGCCAGCTTTAAAGTGAAGATGTTTATCCATTGCTTTAAGAAGTTCTGTGTGAGCCTCAAGAAGACTTGTCACTTCAGTTGGAAGAGGAGCTGCACAGATTTTCACTGTAGACTGTTTGTTAGGTGTGCACATAGTTATAACTTCATCAGTATTTTCTGTGTCTCCATCCTACAACAAACACACAATAAGGAGTTCAGAGCAGAACACATAATGTCTACTTCCATACTGCTTAGAATGTTAATGTTATAGATACATTACTATTAACACTGTTCTTTCGTGTACCAAAATCTTCTTGGGCAATGAGCCTTCTCAGTGTTGTGTTACAAACCAACATTTCAGAAACCTCCTCCAGCTCCATCATCAGGGTCTATGTGAAGACCACATGCCCAGATATTGCTCCACCCTGCTGTATAGTATACTAAGAGGCATTGATTTAACAGATATCAGTGACATATTGTTCTCCACAACATCAACCCTGCTAATAGTGACAGAGAAGACCTCTGAAATAGTTTCTAACTCAACACTGACATGGCTGAGTGCCTGAGAAGGCTTTAGCTCATTTATTTGCAGTGCAAGCTTCATATTTGTCATTTCATTTTATTACATTCTATTTCTATGAAGAACTTATTACTTAATTACTGCATGGCCATGTTATTTTACATTCTTAAAAAAAATTACCTTAATAAATTTCATATATATTTACCACATATCATTTGAGGACATTAAATTGTCAATATCATGTCCCCTCACAAGTCTGAGCATCAGTCATGTTGTTATTAATGAATGCATGAAATTACAAAGTACAACATTGGGATAACTTGCAGTACTATAATGTTCATAACAAATATAATAAATATCAGTAAACAGTTTTAAAAACTGAAATGGGAGGACACACAGATAGATGCACATAAGGCTTCATATGTCTTCTGGACATGGTACAGTTAAGTTATCCCTGTGCTTAATTAATTATGCACTATGCCATGAAGACATATGGGGGATGGAAGGTATAGCTCCACCAGTCTTAAGCTCAGCGCTAGAGGGAAATAAGTCATCAGTTTCATGCCTCAGTCACTTTAGCCTTGGGGAAATCACCCCTGATGCCCATTGGAGAGAAGACTAGGTGGGAAAGAGAAAACACCCCTGCCATTCTTGGTTGTTATGTTTTTGGTATTGCTTAATTTCCTGTTCCTGTTGTTGGTTCATTTCATATGTGGCTTACTGTTAAAATTTTCATCTACCTCCAATATAAGTATTATTTGCCAATTTTGATTAGTTAAAGATACATACATGCACATATACAGGGTGCAAATAAATATATGTTACAATGCTGTGGTAGATAGATGGGTTCAATGTGATCATATTTTGTTACTATGCCCATGTCCGGAAACACTTTGTTTAGGTGCTAGGGCCTCTGAAATGTGAAGAAGGACACCCTTACCTCTTACCTGTGTGGCTTACTGGTGACATTTACCTAACATTTCTCCAAGAGACCTTACCCGAGCTGCTTGAAGTGGTGCCTTTGGAAGTCCCTTGTGAAATGTGGTTCCAGCATGATGGCACCCCAGCACACTGCACTAATGTCGTCTGTGGGAATTCGGATGAAACTTTTGGCAACAGAGGGATTAGATATGGAGGTCCAATAATCTGATCCCCTCACTCCTCTGACTTGACTCCACTGGATTTCTTTCTCTGGGGTTACATGTAAAGCCTGGTGTATGAGACTCTAGTGGACACATATGATCTTGTGGCAATAATTTCAATAACAGCTGGAACCATCTGGGAAATGCTGGGAATCTTTCAAAGAGTTGAGCATAACATGACCAGGCAGTGCAGAACATGCAATGAAGTCAGCGGCTGCCATTTTGGGCAAATTTATAACGTAAAACGATAACATTCCCTAAAACTTATGCATCCTCTCAGAAACTTTTGTGGCCCTTAATGCCAAAAGGAAGCATTTCCAGACATGGGTGCATTAACAAAATATGATCAGATTGAACCTATCTACCAAAAAGCATTGTAACATACTTATTTACACCCTGTATATACACACACATACACACACAAATATAATTTGCTAAACAGAAAAGGGAGTATCTTTCATGTTTCATTTAGTGCCTATCACTGTTCACTAACTGCCCTCAACATTCAATCCAGGAGCAGTCAAGATGAAAAACACTCAGTGAGACAGGTCCCTACTACAATGTTCTTACAATGAACAACCTTTTGGGACATCATCTACTGTCCTAATTTTATCTGAGAAGATGTTTCAGAGACTGGACACTGTCTCAGTCCTCAGGCAAGAAACATCCCTTGAAGATTCAGTGTTGAGTCTCCAAAATGTCATTGCTGAAAAAAAATTAGGACAATAGATGCCAAAAAATGTATCACCACCAACTTTTAGATCTAAGTTATAATACTCTCACTTGTTACTATTTTGGCTTTACAAAAACAGAATATGTCAGTGATGTAGAGTGAATCAAGCCTGCCAAATGCAATGAGGTTTATTTTAACATCCTCAGCAAATAAATCTGTGATAACTTCATTTCTTACCTTTCTTGCTATACTCTGATCCTGAATTGCTTCATTGACCATGTCCACAGTTGGAGGAACAACTACTGTTTCACGGAAAGGAACAATGGGCGCAGATACATTTATGGGCACTTTTGCATACCTAAAATAAAACGTCAGTAACGGTATCATTCATGTTGGTATCTTACACCTAACCCTTAACTAACTGTGGTTTTGTATGGGCATAAAACTTGGTCTCTGACATTAATGGAAGAACACAGACTGAGGATGTTTGAGAATAAGGTTTTGAGAATATTTGCACTGAAGACCAATGAAGTGACAATAGGTTGGAGAAAACTGTATAATGAGGAGCTTCATAACTCGTAATCTTTATCAAATATAATTACAATGATTAAGCCAACGAGGGAGGCATGTGGTAGAATAGTTGGTTGAGGCACTATGCTACAAGTCAGAAGGTTGTAGGTTCAATTCAAAATGATGTTACTGGATTTTTCAATTGACTTAATCCTTCCAGCCCAACAATGGCCTTGGGGTCAACTTAGCCTCTAAGACAAATGAGTATCAAAAGCTTCCTGGGGGTAAGGGGCGGCTGGTGCATAAGGCTGACAACCTCACTGCCATCTGTGAGCTGACTTTCTACAAAATGTGGGAGCCTGTGTGTCTCACAAACCCATGGGCCTACATGGCCTGTTACATGGATATTTTCATTTTTTTTATTTAAACCAAGTAGGGTGAGATGGACAGGGCATGTAGCACACACTGGACTGTGGAGGAATGCACATAGGATACTGGTGGGAAATCCAGAAGGAAAGAGACCACTAGGAAGACATAAATGTAGGGTAATATCAAAATGGATCTTGGAGAGATAGGATTGGGCAGTATGGTCTGGATTCCTCTGGCTCAAAACAGGGACCAATGGGGGGCTGGGATTTTGTGAACACAGTACTGAAGCTTTGGGTTTGATAAAATACGGGGTAATTCTTGAGTAGCTGAGCAAATGGTGGCTTCTCAAGAAGGACTCAGCTCCATGGAGTTAGTTAACCCTAAACTATTACCATATTTTATAGACAGAAAAGAAATGACCCTTCCTCAGGAAAGCATTCTATCTTTACTCTACTGTCTGAATTGCAATTATATTAGTGGCGCATCAAATATATAATTAGTTTTTCAATTATATCCCTTTGCATTTTTCTTGTATTCACTATTAAAATATTAGGTCTGACATAACATCACAGGCCAGGGCTGGATGAAAGTAAAAATTGGCTATGTAGTAATTTGGCTTCTCTGAATATAAGAAAACTATTATAATCACACAAGTTTTTGTGTGAAAATATTAAAGTTCCTCACTCAATAATACAGATGCACCTACGAAAACTTATTATTAATTTGTAGAAGTCAAATATAAAATATATTTATATTTATTATATATATTTACCTCTCTCTGAGATCATCCAAACAACGCTGAAGGTGCACCTCTCCAGCAGTAACCAAAACATGTTCACCTGTCTCCTGCACAATAACTTGCACACACGCATCAGCTTGATTTAACAGTCGCAGTCCATGTACCAGAGCAGCCATATCTTGAGGGTGTGCCGGCTCCACTGCGACACGGACAATAGGTACAACCACTTGTGCTTGCTCTGTAAAAGCTGGACAAGCTACAGTAGAAGCTAAAGTTGCAGATTTCAGCACATGCTCTTCTAAGCCACCAATGCCTATAAAAGAAACAAAGAATGTATAAAGAACACACGAACACCAAAATTAACTATAATCACTATATCTGACTGACGATTTCCATGGTTTTTCTCACAAAATGCCAGGACAGTGCTTCCAAATCCCTTCCAATCCATCATTTATCAAATACTTACCATTTGACACTATATAGTCTAAGATCCTGACAGCATTGTAAAATAAAGTGTGAAACCATGGAGAGACACATCCCAGAAGACAGGTGTCTTCATGACCTTAAGGAGTTACTTTTCAAGAAAAAAGAATTATGAAAGAGATAACACAAATAAGCCCTATAAAGAACTTAATACCTGCTGTATTTCACTCTATATTCTGCAGCTAGCTTGAAATATACGTTAATAATACATGATGGAATAATCCATTTCTGTAACCAATGCATAGAAATGCCCATGAAGCCCCAAGTTCTGTTTATAAATATCACTGTGGTCACATGAATGAGAAGACCTCCGGCATACATGAGTAGGAACAACTCAAATATCACCTAACCCAACTGAAATATACTGGATTAACTCGCTCAAGAGTTGTCGGAATAGAAAATGAGTTAGAAATATTTCACTCGGTTCAGATTAAAGACACAGTTGACTTAATTATCAAAGGGTGGCATCATAAACCAACCACCAACGATATTCCAAGGCTAGCTTGAACTATAGAATTATAATTACACGACAGTGATCCATTTCTGCATACAATGCATAGCAATACAGTTGGGTCTCAGGTCCTCATAGTGCTGACTATGAAAATTACCATCTTCTGGCCTGTTATGTTCAAACTCACCGAGCACATTTCCAGCAGGTACTGAATCCAAAGTCTCCAGTTCCCTCCCCATTAACAGGAAGAGTTGATCAATTTTCACTCTAGTGATGTGCTGTCCCGATTTCAGGTCCTTAAGAGTTAAATTTGGATCAATTATTTCTCCATTTTTTAACTGCAAATATTAATCAAAACAAATTATAAAATAAACGCCAAATCAATTTCAAAGAACACTGTAGTGGCAATTACATAAACAGAATTAAAATCAATACAAAAAGTTTTGAATGCTCATTTTACCCAGAAAGACAATGCATGATTGCCATTTTCACTAACAGCGCTTTTGGTACATTTATTGTGATGAAGATAAACACAAGAGAAACTAAAGGGCTGTGACAGATCACACAGAGAATGAACCAACTAGAACCCAGACACTGAGAGTATGATTCTAGAAGTGGTGTTGAGAATTAGTCTCCCTCACCTGTCCAGAACAGTTCTAGACAAAGGTGCCTCTAAATACTAACATGATGCATCAATGACAAAACTTTATTTTAGCACCTACTATATGCCTTCAGAGGTTCCAGGATGGCTTAGTTGGTACAGCAACTAAGGTGGGAATAAAAGCTCTTGACGTTTGACAAGAACTTCACATGTGTGTAGCAGCAGAAGCTGTGTTATGAAACTGATATCGGAAACAGACTACACAGGAACAGAACTGAACTATTTCAAAAGAATAAAATATTAACTGAACTTTTATACACAATTTCTTCCTTAAAGCATCACTTGTTAACAGTAGAGAATTCATAATATTTCAAAGGAGTTCTGTATACAACATATTTTTTGGGGAAGTCATGTAGGTTTGTCGCACTTTTTGGAATATTTATGTGTGTTCTGGGACTTACAACCACCATATCAGTACTTTATTTTTCCGTTTTTTGCTCTTTGCATACAGATGAAACAGATGCCTGGCTTACACAATAAGCTTCAGCTGTCAGGCCTGGGCACTTAAAGAAATCCAGTCTGCTTCATTATTTTTCAGACATGTTTGTTAAAAGAAATTATACATATTACATTCTATTTTGCAAATGCTGCTACTGTAACAGCTGGAACAACGAATATCACCTGTACTCAGTTTCCTGAGTGACATGTTATATTCAGACACCTTGAATCAGAAACAACATACAAAACAACTGACATATATATATTGTTACACATTTAAGCCTACTAAAGCACTAAAAGTTATAACAAAAAAACACACTATACTTGTCCCTTGGCCCTTCACCTAAGTACATCTGAGTTCATGAAGTGTTTGTCCAAGAGCACATGATATTTGATTTGAAACTTGCAGTGGTGGACTTGAACTGGGCAACACAGCATGTCTTACTGGCTAGTACCTCAACAGTGGCCATGCCTCAAATATCAAGAGATTTTAATTCTGCTATAGGTTATGGGCTGGGTGACCAAGCAGTCAGGGTTTGTGACTGCTGGTAGGGGCATAAGATTTTTTTTTCTCACTGTGTAATGTCCAGACTGGCTCTGGGGCCCACCCAGCCTCCTACCCAATGGGTACCAGGTTTTTTTTTTTTCGTGAGGGATAAAGTGGCATGGGCGTGAAGCTGACCACTCACTTGTATCTAGTGGTGGGGTCTAGAATAACGGAGCTATACCTCCATTTCCCATACATCTTTATGGCGTGGTGCTTAATTAATTTAGTCCAGAGATAACTTTACCTTTTACTGGACATCTTCAATGCATCATGCTTAGAAATTTTTACCTTCTAGCCTTTTATATTAAGAAAATTTTTGAAATTCTCAATACTACATAACTAGGCATTCACTACTTTAGTTTCTCATTCAAATTATTCTATTTGTTTTAATATTTTGTAGTAAAAATTTGAATAGATCACACATTTGTCCACATGGTCGCAGAAGTGCACATGCAAACACATATGCACACCCACCTACACATATGCAGTCTTGTTCCTATGCTTAATTAAGCACCACACCATAACAATGTATGGCGGTGTGAAGATATAACTCCACACATACTTAACCTCTTCAATACATGGAGGTGAATGGTGAGCATCATTCCCCCATCACTCTACCCCTGAGAAAAGAGCCCTGCTACGCATTCCATAGGAGTCCACATGGGTGCCAGTCTGGATGCTGTGGGGAAGAGATAAATCGCTGCCCCTGTTAGGAATTGAACCCTGATTTCTCAGTCATCCAGCATGCAGTCTAGTCACTATACTGAGTGTGGGAACATCCCACATACTAACACGCGCTTTCGCCGGTCTAACAGACAGCACTCAACTCCTAGCCAATATCACATTGCTGCCAGCACTCATATTTATACAGCACTTGCTGTCCAGCCCACATTTAGATCATCGCATGCGCTAGCCAATCAGCGCTCACAATCGCAACTGCAACTGTAGCTCCGCCCAGCAAGCATGGTATAAAAGGTGGAGCCCAAAACTAGCAATCGTCAGTGTTCACATTCAGTCATCAGAGTCATCAGCTCTTCACTGTGCCAAAGACAGCTGCCGCAACTCTCCAACAACCGCGCTCTGCTACCAGACAGCTAACGTAGCTGCCGCAACCCTCCAGCAACCACGCTCTGCTACCAGACAGCTAACGTAGTTGCCGCAACTCTCCAGCAACCGAGCCGAGACAACGGCTCAGTCATCACCCACACCGTAGGCAGCTGTTCGTACCGGCACACGCACCACCAAATCACCAGCTGGACAAACCAGCTGAACGGCCATAAAGACCTGGTCTACTACAAAGGAGCAAATTCTGCCAGCGCACTCACGGTGGAACAAACTGCCCTTTTCGGGGCCAGCCAATTTTGAACATCGACATTCCACATAGCTTCGTAGCTATTCTGTACATTCAATTTATACAATTTAATATATACAATTGTTACAGTTTTACGTGGTTGTCTTTTAGTACACTGACAATCCCACATGAGCTACACTAGCCACTTCACTGCAGCATTACAATAGCAAATTAAGAAGTGAGCTGGATGAAATTAACATAATATAAATAACAATTTATTGGAATCCAGAGGTGGAAATGGCAGTAACAATTCAACTATAATGCAAGTCTCTACACTTAGGTGGACAGAAGTATGCCTTGTCTGTACCTTTTCTAGTGCAGACTGCGGTTCATGTTTAGGCCCTAACACATAAAGCTCCTGGCCTCTCTTAACTGTGCCACTAAAAACTCGTGCAAATGCAATAAACACATCTTCATGGCTCTGTTCTTGTGCCTCTTGTTCTTCTGTCTTTATTTCATCTCCATGTGAAAGAAGGTGAGGCTCCGGCATTGGTATCACATCATCTCCACAACCTGAACACACCATATTCAAATATATATATAAAAATGAGTAACATTCAATGAAATACAATTTAAGGAAGGAAATTCAGTATCCCTTATTTTGGTGGAAACTGTCTCAATCTTGAATGCAGGATATTTTAAAAAAAGATATTTACAAAATACTTTCTTTTCAAAANAGAATTTATTTGTCGCGATATACCCCGCGATACGCGACAATATGATAACAAAATAATGTGGATATCATTGGGAGCCATAGGTGCAAAATAGGAAAGAGACAGAATTGGACATTGCCATAGTTGAAAATCTGGAAGAACTGTTAAAACCCAAATGACTTGTGTTGTAGATAAACTGGTCCAACTTAATGTTCATTTCCTGCAAGGACAAGAAACTGAAAAGGAAAGACTGTAGGATGAAAGAAGAGATTGGAGACTTTTCATCCACTGACTCTTTCAAACAGGTAAAATGCTTGAAGAAGAGGAATGTTTGCAAAATACTTTGCAGACTGTTCCAGGACATCAATTATGCAAGTCTCCTGACAAGTATGATCATACATACCACCTACATGCGGCACATCATGACTCTGTGCAAGTCTTTGTGCATGTCGAAGACGAGCCTGCTCTCTGCGTTGGGCTATCTCAGCAGCAGTCAAAGGCCGAGAACGATACTGAGGAAGACACCCACGTTCCATCTGTAAGCACAAACCAAAAATAACTCTGTAAACAGCAGCTCTTGCTAGGTAACACCCACAACAAGCAAACAAGAGCAGAAGAGCTGTTTTCTGTTGTTCAGCATCATGATATTATAAGCAAGGGACAAGGTCAATTGTTAGTCAGTAAGTGAAGAGAAGACAAGGAAGTTGGTGTGAGATGTCCACCAGCCTGGGAGTTAGTCAGAGAATTGCAGTTCAGCCATTGTGAACTGATGTTGTTAAAAGCCGGTAGCTGAGGCACTGGCATAGATCAGTAGCCGTTGCCAGGAAATGGCTACTGGAAACTGTAACAGATGGAGGGCACAAATCCATGTGTGTCAGAGGTGTGTAAATTGTAGTCAAGGGTTGTGAGCGTATGAGTGGTCAGTAAATCAAATCACCAATCCAAACCCCGTCTATAGTCACTCCTACATGTGACAATACATAAGAGTACACAAACTGTACAAAGTTGCATATTAAACAATTACAAATGTTAGTACTAAAATTATCTTCAAAAAATAAGTTTTCATTCATGTATGAGCATGAAAGAAACTATGGCTCATAGTGTTATTCCAAGCAAATCAACAATCAAATCTGGTTACATCCCAATTTAAATTTCTTTGTGTAGCAGCAGATTTGAACACTAAAGCAAGGAAAATATTATATGCTGGAAATTTAACACTGAAATTACTGACTTGGGATCTTTGAAATTCAATATTAAATGAAGGAACACCATATGGGCGCTCCACATGAACAGGTGGTCTACCATCAAATTTACATCAACATATTACAACTGAAGTAAGCAATTGAAATTGGGACAACTAATATGTAATGTTTTTATTAAATCACTTAAGTTCAATTTGACATACTGGAAACATTTTGGAGATGTATACTATTACAGGTACATCTTCATCACTTGAACATGCCAAGAACACTGATTTCAACTGCTGTGTTTCACTTGGCAAACTGTCAAACCTCTCGGTTGCAGAGCACATCAGCTTTTCTGCCTTTTCTTCTGTAATTTCATATGGAGCAGGTAATTTAATACACACCATATCTGTTGAGATAAAAATAAATATAGATTACTATATTTTTTCTCTTCTCAGACACGATATTGAAATATGAAACAAAATGGTAATAACAATATAACATTAAAGTGATGAAAATCTTAAACGGAGGAATCTCAACATGGGATTATTGATTTGGGACCACTGAATTTGAACATCAAATAGAAAACCCTTAAATAAAGGAACAACCAATGGGAATTCAACTCTCTGGCCAATTACTGAAACCAATTTACTCTGCATTTGTTTGACTACATACAAGAAATGTCTGTTGATGCCTGTCAAGATGTGTGCCTACAGAGTAAGTGGAATCGTCAATTTGTCAACATTAGGCTTCTGTGTGTGACAGGTCCAGACTATCAGCTTCTTCATGATCTAAATCAAATAGCACCAGTGAATACTGGTAATGGAACTGCTGCAGCTGTTTGGGACAGTACCATATATATGAAAAACAAATGACGTTACAGGCAGTGAAGTGCCACACACACTGGCAAGCTAAAAGAACTCACTATGAAGTTCTGAACTAGATTTTAATTCTCTGCACATTTCCAAAATCTAAGACTCAGGAAATGTTGAGTATGTGTACAGTTATCTGGATTCACAGTTAACCAGGATCAAAACATCAGTATCTTCACTCAATTTCAAGAAGCAAATATTGAGATCATAAAAAGGAAATATATAGAACTGTATATGATAAATTGCAAGAATTCATATAATGGGGTTAATAACACTTATTATTTTCTTTTATTTGAAATTGTGTGAGTTCCATATATGCAATAATGCTGATCAATCTGGTTAGGTTAACTGCATAAACAAACAAAATAAAGTTAAATCTTAATTTAGTCTTGTTCTGGGGAATCAACCCACATAAAATTAAGTTGGGACCATATGAACTTAGTAACAAATGTGGGAATCTGTAAAACAGAAGCATGACAGCCCAGTATTTCACTAATACATCAACAAAGCTACTGAATCCTTAAACTATACATTTTCTTGTTGAACTGATGGCATCTAGAATTAAAGCAGTCCTTATAACTGTGTTTATATAGAAGTTCCCTTATTGCAGATACAATGCTTAGTGACATAATTTTGCTATTCCCTTCAAATATCTTGCCCAATAATGAAGAGTTCTACCTCCTGGAACATCTTCACTGTTTGTATTCTCCTGTGTACCATGATTGATGGTATGTGGCCATCAGCAGAAAACAACAATAAAAATAAACCAATTGAACTGCTCACATTAGTTAATTTAATGGTTGCTATATGTTTCGGTCCACATATGGGACCATCTTCAGGCGATCTCATTAAATATGTCTGAGGTCATTAAACTGACCTAATATGGATCCATATTAATACTAATAACAATCATATAATACATGCAACTGTCATGAAGCTGCAAGAATTTTTCTACTTTTAAAATTTTCAAAAAATTAAAATTTAAATTTAAAATGACTTAGAATTCTCTTGTTGAATGTAAAATTCTATGTTCTTTTTTGTGTTTTTGTCCCACACTGTAGGTTGTCCTTTGCCCAGGGTTCAACAAATACCATCAATCACCTTCTAGGACATAATCACTGAAAATGAATTGACATTTTAGAAGAACATGTTGCCTCCCTTTTCAGGGCCAAAGAATAAGCCAAGGAGGAGGCGACATGTTCTTCTTGAAATGTCAGTTGACCTTCAACGGGTTATGCAGCATTATGCCAGAAGAGAGAACTCTTCAATGACCGCTATGAAAATCCCAAATCCTATTCCTTACCTAGTAATGTTTTAGCAAGCGGCAACCACTGCCCACAAAGGGCCTGTAACTGCACCTTGCTATCTGTGTGCCGCATGTCTCTGACTGTCAACTTGATGTTCAGGCTGTCAGCTATCTTTTGGAGTTTGTCCTTCTCCTAAAAGCATACACTTATCAATAAATCATGCACATGATTCAAACATCATTCCTCGCTTCGGTGATGGATTTCTGATTTTACTGCTCAGAGATCATTATTGGTTAAATCTAAGATGAATTAATAATCCACCAAAGAAAACATAGTTCAAAGCAGTATAGACTTCATTTATTAGAATCAACCATTTACTGCAAATAAGGCAGCGTGACATGTAACTCTGCTGCTAGGTAACGGCTTGTTGAAACATATCCAAGTTTATGACAGAGACATTGACTCCTAGGCAACACGTACAGAAACGTTTCTGTTACAACAGCTAGGTAAAGGTTGTTCACATAGCAACGAAAGGCAGATACGAGAAGTAGGAACCCTTGGAGATGGTGATCTCTATACGGTTTGATCAAAACCTACCTCAGGGAGGGACAGACTACAAGATTACATACTGGAGAGTCCTACCAAGTAGTAGAAGCCCAGTGTGAGAACAAGACAGAAGAGAGGAGACTGCATACAGACCTGCTCACCAAATTCGTACAAGGAGCATCTAAGAGTGGAAGTCCTGAAGAGTTTATTTGTTATTGTTCCGGTAACCTTTTGAAATGTTATAAGTATTTGTAGACCTACATGGTGATTGTCCAATAAATCGATTCATCAATCCAGAGAACCCATTAATTACTAGTCATGTTACCAGGATACGTGACAGTAGAGTAACAAAATGTGTCTTAATAATGTACTCCATTTCTGTAACAAACAGCATGGTTGCCCCTAATGTGGCTGCAATTTATAAATCAGATAGTGGAATAAAAAGAAGTCACTTGTATCATCAACCTCTTTCAAGGAAACTGCAATTAAAAATCAAGCTAATAAACCACTAACATTATACATACATATATTCACAAAGGACAGAAATTCTTGGGGCCTACCTGTAATGGAGTTTGTATCTTTAGAAAATGGCCATTAAGAGGTCTTTCACAAATGTACTGTAATAGATAATATAGACTGAGGGTGTCTGAGAACAGGGTGTTGGGGAGAATATTTGGACCGAAGGGATATGAAGTGACAGGAGGCTGGAGAAAACTGCATAATAAGGGGCTTCATAACTCGTACTCTTCTCCAAGTATAATTAGAATGATCAAGTCAAGGAGGATGAGGTGGGCAGGGCATGTAGCACGAACAGGGGCAAAGAGGAATGCATACAGGATATTGGTGAGAAAGCCAGAAGGAAAGAGACCAGTGGGAAGACCGAGGAGTAGGTGGGTGGACAATATTAAAATGGACCTTAGAGAAATAGGATTGGATGGGATTTATTATTATTATTATTATTATTNCCCGGAGGACTTGTTCCCTGAATTTTTCCACCCTTAAAAATTCCATGACCTCCGCCGGGTTTGAACCCGCATACCTTGAGTCATGAGGTGGGAACGTTACCCCTAGACTACGGAGGCCGCTGGGATGGGATGGTATGGATTGGATTTGTCTGGCTCAGGATAGGGACCAGTGGAGGGCTCTTGTGAACATGGTAATGAACGTTTGGGTTCCATAAAATGCTTGGAAATTCTTGAGTAGATGCAGATTTGGTGGCTCCTCAAGAAGGGCTCAGCTTCATAAGTAAGTAAATAAGTACTGCAAAAGATACATGCTTGGTCTCAACATACGGACATTCAATTTACATGAACATTCATACAAATGAATGGCACAGTAACTGTTCATTTTTTATTCTAATTTATTTAGTATCTCTACTGATTTGCCTGTGGATATGTAATGTGCTTGTTAATATTCTTTTATAAGCTAAACTGCACAGAATATGACAAATTAAATGAGCTCTATGCATATGCTTTGGGATTCAATTACTGTTAATTGCATTACATCTTATGGGAGAGAAGTATGGCGCTATTCAATGTAAGAATGCCTTGACATAAAAAGTATAAACAGATTTCACATTAAAATTAATATAGAACTCTGCAAGTAAGCTTCAATTCAAGCTTAAAACATTTAAATTTAAATAACAGCACAGCCTTACCAACCTTTCTAACAACAACTGTATCATAAACTTCCCAGAGGTTGTCCAACACAAACTGGACAAACAAAGGCTTCTTGGCTTTTTCCTGTGCACCTTTCATCACTCGTTTTGTTTTGCCATGAAGGTAAAAATCTCCCCACAACGTCTTCTGCAGAACCTTTTCATTAACACCTAGTTTCTCTGCATATAATTTTGCAAAATCTTCAATACTGAAAAACCAAAACAAAACTTAATCTTTAAATTAATAAATAGGTAAGAAATACACTTAATTCTGAAGAGTTTTATCTCCTGGGATATAATACCATATAGTCTGTTGAAAGTCAACCAGCATATTGAAGGAACACTGGTTGACTTTCAACGGGACTACACGGTGTTATATCTCAGAAAATAGTTCTCTTCAAAACCACCGCTGTGAGAACCTCAGATCCTACACAGTGCTATATGCCAGAAGATATAACTCTTCATAACCACTGCTGTGAGAACCTCAGATCCTACATGGCGCTATATGCCACAAGATAGAACTCTTCATAACCAACGCTGTGAGAACCTCAGATCCTACAGAGCTATATCCCAGAAGACAGAACTCTTCATAACCACCGCTGTGAGAGCCTCAGATCCTACACAGCGCTATATGCCAGAAGATAGAACTCTTCATAACCAATGCTGTAAGAACCTCAGATCCTACACAGTGCTATATCCCAGATGATAGAACTCTTCATAACCAATGCTGTGAGAACCTCAGATCCTACACAGCGCTATATCCCAGAAGACAGAACTCTTCATAACCACCGCTGTGAGAACCTCAGATCCTACACAGCGCTATATCCCAGAAGATAGAACTCTTCATAACCACCGCTGTGAGAACCTCAGATCTTACACATTTAATTTTAGTTGCACAATGTTCAACTGATATGCAAACAGACATGTCACAGCACACAGAAAATAAGGCAAATTTCACCAAAAGAATACAAAGATTGCAATACCCTTGTTAAAATATCAAGTACCTCAAAGAAAGCTACTCTAGTGGTGTAAAAACATGCCTTTTAAAAACCCTATAAGTTTGCATTATAAGTGAAATCACCTGTTGCCATGGAAATAAAACTTACTATTTACATTAATAACAAATTTGTTACTATGAGTGACCATGCAGAAACACATAATTATATAGAAGCTGTTATTTGCCAAATTTATATGCAATTCAGCACAATTAGGCGATGGCCACTCATACGAGGTGTATCGGAAAGTTCCAGGACTAGGTCAAAAGAGAAATGCTGGCTTAACTTAATTTTGACGCCATCGCCTTCAAAATAGTCTCCTTGGGAACATATACAGTGATCCCATCATTTTCTTACACATAGAAAGTATCATGGAATTCATTTGCCTTAACATTGTCAAATACGGCTCGTGATTCCCTTTCGCATGTCAACACACTATTTCAAAATGTCATCCACTCAGTTTTATTTTCACTTTGGCAAATAAAGAGAAATAACAGGGGCTAAGTCCGGTGAATAAGCAGGATGGCAAATGATAACCATGTTGTTGTTGGTCACAAACTTTGTGGTTTTCAAGGATGTGTGGGCGGGCGCATCATCATGGTGAAGAAACCAGGTGTGGTAGCACCAAAATTCTGGTCTTTTTCGTCACATATTTTCTCTCAAGCATCTCAAAATGTCACAGTATGAGTAAAAGTCAGAGTTGATCATAATGTTAGGAGGAACAAATTCACGGTGAAGAAGTCCCTTCACGTTGAAAAAACAATGAGCATGCTCTTTGTTGAGCTCTGGACCTGCCGCGCCTTTTTTGCTCTTGGTGATGGTGGGCTCTTCCACCATGATGATTATTGCTTTGCTTCTGGATCATAACCATAAATCCAACTTTCATCACCTGTTACTTGTATGATCCTAGAGATAAAAGTTGGACCCTCTTTAGCCTTCTCTTGTAGCTCAACACACATTTACGTGCAGCTGCTTTTGATCATTTGTCAAGAGTCGGGGCACAAATTTTGTGGCAAGGCAGTGTATGTTCAAATTTTCTGTTACGATCTCCTGGCAAACTCCATAACTGATCGCACTGGTGTCTGCAGGCTCATGGATTGTTCAGTGGCTGTCTTTGTGGATGTGTTCTCAAATTTTTTCAAAAGTTTCTGTCACTTTGCTGGTGCTTGGTCGCCCTGAATGTTCATCTTCAACTGGCACTTGACCAGCCGTGAAATATGAATGCCATTCAAAAACTGCTGTCCATCTTAAAGAATGTTCTCCAAAAGCCTCACAAAGCATTTCAAGGGTTTCGGTAGTGTATCTACCGAGCTTCACGCAAAACTTGATGCAGACACGTTGCTCAATTTTTCCATCCATTGCAGACAAACTCAAACATGAAGTTGAAAAGCACTTGTGTAAGAACAATGAGTGTTCACAGCGCGGTGTCATGTGGCAGACTGATGCAATAGGATTGCAGAAGCATGACCTTAGCCTCCCCTCTCATCTTCTTTCATTGAGGCAGTTACACCAATAACAGTCCAGGAATTTTCCAATACCGCCTCATACTATACTGGTACATCATTCTCACTATGACATGAGAACTTGGTAACAGACACAAGACTGAGGTACAGCAGTCAATGTGCTTCCTACAGACAACAACTGAGAGGTTTCTGTATTCAGCCTTAATTAAACAGTGGATCACAGATGATTAATTTTCTCTTAATTTAATAAGATGCACAGGAAGAACTGTTGAACACAAATACAAGGAGGCTGTCCAAGAGCCTGTGCAAATCATTTGATAAGCACACATTAACACTCATGACACAGACAATAGCTTAAGAGCCTATAAATATTACAATTTAATTCCAATATCACCCAAATAAACCTCTGAACAGCGACCATGAAGCAAGCTTATGTGTTATGTGACTACTATCCGATGTCCCTGCTATTTCATTAAACATTTAATCAGTCACATTATTTATTGAATCAAAATAACATATGAGAGCTACACACTTAAACAAGTGTTTATATATGATACTCTTATGAAAAGGAACAAAAAGATTGCAGCACAAAGTTTAGAATCTTCCAGTTCCAACTAGAAAAATATTCATACAATTTCAATAAATTTTGACCAGTGGTATCAATACTGTACAAAAAGAACTGAACCAATATGTCAAGTGCTCACTGAAGAGAAATGGAATGAAATCATTGCTAGACCTGAACATTTCCCTTGAAACTACCCTTGACATCTTGCACAGGAGATGGGGATTTTAAGCTTCCAACTTTCAATCAGAATTACTGGGTTTTTGGAAACTGTCATCCAGTATTCTAAAAAACTAGATAACACAACGTTTTGGAAAATGGATCTGTTTCCATCCTCAGGTGAGTGGGGACTGAGTGAATGAGGTTAGTTCTTTCTAAGGGACACATCATAGTAGGTGTCTCCTCCCCTTCACCTGAGGATACCAACAGAACTAGAACCCGAATCATTGAGATCTCTAGTTTTTTAGAACACAGGACGATGGATAAAGTTCAAAAATTCAGTAATTCTAAGTGTTATACACCATCGTCAGAGGCCTTTAGAATCTACTTCCAACTTGCAAGTTTGCTCTGTTTCCAAAAAGAAACTTCAAAGTGTGAATGTGAACATTTTACGAGAGGGCAAGGAATGCATGTGTAACCACATGCTCATTTCTGGCATCTCCTGAGATATAGGTGGGTTCTGCTTATAATCTGTTGGCCTACAGGCCTGCCAACTGCACTACAGGACCAGTCAAACGTGGACAGACTTGACACACAGCTTATGTCAGTTCTGCTGGACTGGCAGAACGATCTGTGGCAGGATCTTTGAGCATCTTTCCTGTTTCATGTCCTGTTCAGAAAGAATCTTGAGTGCACTCAACTGTGGGGATTCAGAGATCTGCTATGAATTTTCAGTCTGTCAAATAAACTCTTCAGTAATTCTGAATACAGTCAATACAACATTTAATTTGGTACACAAGTATCAAAATGGATGAAAGAATATTTCCTCTAATAACAGACATCATCATCAAAACTTAATAGGCCTGTTCCACTACAAGCAACCAACCTGTATTCATGTTATACCTTACCTGAAACCCCAACCATCCATAGCACTGGCAAAAATGACATTCCCTTGATCTGGTGAGAAGTAAAGGTGTGAATCATCCTCATCTTCAAGCCCAGTACTCCAGTCATACAAGGAGCTACTTGATTTGTCTGGATCATTTGGTGACTGTGGCTTTTCTGGTATCGTTCGAGCCAGTATTTCACTAGCAAATAATTCTCCCATAACAGCATTAACCTGAAACCACAGACATTGAAAAGTGATAAGTAAAACTAGAGACATACAATAAATTTTAATTTCTAAAAGTGAAAAAATGGTGATGGCATGAAACACCAAATATGACAATCTGATATTGGATTAAATTATGTGATTAAAACATAATGTGAGAAAACTTAGCACATAATTTTCAATTATTATATGTGCCACAGTTGCCAGATAACTTGATCTCACTCAGGGGTTATGGGGAGAGGAGACATACATATCAAGACACTGTCCATATGTACCTTCTATNATCTCTCACCCAGGGGTTATGTGGAGAGGAGACATACATATCAGGACACTGTCCATATGTACATTCTACAAGTTGATCTCTCACCCAGGGGTTATGTGGAGAGGAGACATACATATCAGGACACTGTCCATATGTACATTCTACAAGTTGATCTCTCACCCAGGGGTTATGTGGAGAGGAGACATACATATCAGGACACTGTCCATATGTACATTCTACAAGTTGATCTCTCACCCAGGGGTTATGTGGAGAGGAGACATACATATCAGGACACTGTCCATATGTACATTCTACAAGTTGATCTCTCACCCAGGGGTTATGTGGAGAGGAGACATACATATCAGGACACTGTCCATATGTACATTCTACAAGTTGATCTCTCACCCAGGGGTTATGTGGAGAGGAGACATACATATCAGGACACTGTCCATATGTACATTCTACAAGTTGATCTCTCACCCAGGGGTTATGTGGAGAGGAGACATACATATCAGGACACTGTCCATATGTACATTCTACAAGTTGATCTCTCACCCAGGGGTTATGGGGAGAGGAGACATACATATCAGGACACTTTCCATATGTACCCTCTGCTCTCAATGTCCAAGAAAGAAACATACAGTACAATAATTACCGTATTAACGCATGTATAGGCCGCAGCACAATTTTCAGACAGAAATTATAGAAAAAATAATTTTCTTGGAATATTATTTCAGGAGTAGAACACCCTGTATTACTAATTATGAATATCATTTTTTTTAAATGAAATGTGATTTCGAATATAAGCCGCACCCCAGTTTTCCTCTTGAATTTTTGGCAAAAAATGTGCGGCCTATACATGCGTAAATACGGTAATTAATTCATGTAATAGCACTGTCTCCTCTCAAAGCCAACCAGTTTATCGTGGAGAGGAGGTATGCGCACCCCAAAGACCTGGAGAGCTATGCTGGTGGGAGTGTAAGCTCCTGGCAGAGCCATCCATGCATGATAGATCACAGGGTAGGAGCCAGATGAAGTGCAGTCCTTGGTCCTGTAGGTTGGGGCTGGGAGTCAGGCTAATAATCCCATCCCAGAAAAATCTACTGTTACAAAACCTCCAGAGCCCATGGAGGAGGCCAAGACCCACACAAGGTTGCTGCAGCGCCAGCAGAGAAGAATAATAATACTGTGGGACAATGCTTTCTACGGCAACAGCCAGAGAACGCAAGGCCCAAGAGGACTGACCCACATAATAAGCTCTCTTATATAAAAATGGCTGAACTACTGAAAAGTTATAGCTTCTTGCCAATATCAATTTTGGTGTGTCTGCAGCAAGAAGATCCAAAATGCACCTATCAGCTACATGCCTGTCCATTCGTGCATGTAATAATTTGAGAACTGCTAAACATTTTCATAAAAACCTGACATTAATAACTAATAAACAAATAAAATGTAGCAGACACCATCTAACCGTTGTTCATCCTGTCAAGAAAGTCCCAGCATTTTATGGAACCCAAAGGTTAATTGCCACGATCAAAACAGCCCACCACTGGTCCTTATCCTGGGACAGAAGAATGCAGTCCACATCCTCCCATCCTATTTTTTATGACTCGTTTCAATATTATCCTCCCATCTACACCAGGGTCTTCCGTGTGGCCTCTTTCTATCAGATTTTTCTCCCAAAACTTTGCATGCATCTCTCCTCTCCCATTGGTTTTACATGCTTCCTTGACTTTACCACCCTAATACTAATGGCAAGGAGCACAAATTACAAAGCTTCTTATTGTGTAGTTCTTTCCTGATTCCTGCCCCCCCCCCCTCTTAGGTCCAGATATTTCTACTGGGGAGTTTTATTAAAATTTGAAGATTTCTATCTTCTGGGATATAAAGTCAAGTGGCCCACTGAAAGTCAACCCATGTTTCAGAGGAACATGTTGCCTCCACCTCCAAGGTTGAAGAGTAAGCTTGCTGCCTGCTTCTTGCTTGTTTCTTACTCGCCTTACTCTTCAGCCCTGATGACGGAGGCAACACATTCCTCCATAACATCAGTTGACCTACAGCAGACTACACATTATACCCCAGAAAAGAGAACTCTTCATAACGACTGCTGTGGGAATCTCAAATCCTACATTTATTAAATTCTGTTTATACATTCCAATTCTGGGTAAACAAATACAACAATAACTGACACTTTATATGAAGACCTGTATGAGTTCTTGTGCAGATTCTGCATGTAATTTGTTAAACATTGTTATTCTGAATACAAGATGCACATTTTATGCATTTTTTCCTGCTGAAAAATTAAGCTGCATCTTAAATTCGAGGAAATGTGCACCTTCCTACTTTTTTTTTAATTGAATTGAATTCATTTACATTCCATAAATCCTAAGCAGGTTAGTACCTTTGGATACAGAACAAGTCAAAAGGTTACATACATAAGTACAGGCAATTTTAGCTTAAAAATTAATATAACTTAATTTTACATCATTCTCTATTTACATTGAAGTATTCATCTAAGGAGTAGAAGGAATGAGCATGTAGATAATTCTTTAACTCTGATTTAAACTTTTTAGTATCATTGCCCAAGTTTTTAATACTTTGTGGCAGATTGTTGAACACTTTTATGCCAGTAAAGTAGACTCCTTTTTGATATACTGATAAAGTTGATGAGGGTAGGTGAAAGTTATATTTTTGTCTAGTATTCATGTTATAGACATCAGAATTTAATTTGAATTTATCTTTGTTGTAAACAACAAATAAGAGAAGCGATAATATGTATTGCGATTGAAGAGGTAGAATTTTTAATTTCTTAAATAATTCTCTACATGAATCTCTACTTCTACATCCTGTAATGATTCTAATTATATTCTTTTGTATTTTAAAAATTATTACACTATGTGAAGAGTTCCCCCAAAATATTAATCCATAGTTCATAATAGAATGAAAGTAGGCATGGTAAACCATCTTCAATGTTTCCTGTGACATAAAAGGCTTAATTGATCTCATCGCATAGCAAGCTGCATTTAATTTAGGTATAATTTGTTCAATATGTATTTTCCAAGACAGTGTACTGTCTACATGTATTCCAAGGAATTTTGTATCAAGTACTTTACAGATTAATTTGTTGGCATAACTGATGTCCAGATCAATTTGGTGGTTGTTTTTAGTTGTGAATGATATGTAATGGGTTTTATCAAAATTTAATGAGAGTAAATTGGCTTCGAACCATCTGTTTAAGGCTTCAAATACAATATTTATGTCATTTTTAAAGTTTTCAAATTTAGAGTTCTTAAATATTATACTAGTGTCATCTGCATATAGAATTGGTTTAGATTTATTGTTGATGGTTTTAGATAGATCATTTATGTAGAGAAGAAAAAGTAAGGGACCTAAAATTGATCCTTGTGGAACACCGTGCTTTATAATTCCCCAGTTTGAAAATGCATTATGACTGGAGTTTTTATTATTTATTTCAACTCTTTGATACCTGTTTTTGAGGTATGATTTGATCCATTCATTAGCTTTGCCAGTTATTCCATAGAAATTTAATTTCGATAGTAAGATATCATGATTAACACAATCGAAAGCTTTTGCTAGATCACAGAAAATCCCTCCCACAATTAATCTGTCATTGAGAGCACTTAAAATATCGTTAGTTAGTTCATAGGTTGCTTTTTCTGTTGTTAGGTCTTTCCTAAATCCAAATTGCTCTTTGACTAATATGTTGTTAGAATTTAAGTGTTCAAGTAGTCTATTATACATAACTTTTTCAAAGACTTTTGAGAATGAAGTCAATATGGATATTGGTCTGTAATTAGAGATGCATTTTCTCTCTCCTTTTTTAAAAAGTGGTTTCATTACAGCGTATTTTAAGCGTTGAGGAAAAGTACCTGATGATAAAGATTTATTACATAGATGATTCAAGGGTGAACTGATGTAAACAGAGCTTGCTTTAAGTAATTTGGTAGAGATTTCATCATATCCATGTGAATTTTTGGGCTTAAGGGATTTAATAATGTTTTCAATTTCCTTCCTTGTTGAGAATTTGAGATTTATATTTGGAAATGAATTGTTAAAGGCACGAGACAGACAGTATATTGGATTATTATTATTATTATTATTGGAATATGTTTTCTCAGCTAATGAAAGGAAATATTCATTAAATGCACTTGCGATAGCTTGTGGATTGTTAGCGGACTTCCCTTCAATATTCAAACTTTCAAACTTTTTTCTTTCCACTAAAACCTGCATTCGAAAATTGGATGAGTCTTAAATTCGAGGGCATCTTATATTTGAAGCAAAAAAAAAATTGTTTTGAATGAAAAACGAAACACATTTTATGCCTAATACACTTTTCCAGAAAGTCTTACATATAAACCTTTCCGAATTCAAAAATGCATGGAATAGAAATAAAGAAAGATGCAGGCAGAATTATTTTATTATTTGAAAGGACATAGAATGCAGTTTTATTTTAATGGGGTTTAAAAATAATGTCTTCCAAATGGCCATCTCCGTTTTCCATACATTGATGGAGCCTGTTTCGCAAGTTTTCCATGACTCTACGAGTCATATTCCGTGGAATAGCGTTGATTTCTTCGGTGATGGCAGCCTTCAGTTCATCAATAGTTTGGGGACGAAGTGTGTACACCCTTGCCTTGACGTAGCTCCACAGAAAAAAATTGCATGGTGTTAGATCAGGCGATCTGGGGAGCCACCCAATGTCACCCCGCAAAGAGACAAGATGACCAGGAAACATCTGTCTTAGAACCTCCATTGAACGACGCGAGGTGTGGGCCGTAGCACCATCTTGTTGGAACTAGGCACCTTCCAGGTCATGATCCTGCAATAATTCATCCAATTTCGGTAGAAGAAAATTTTCAGGCATGTAACAATATCGAGCAGAAGTCACTGTAATGACTTCACCATCTTCTTCGAAGAAGTAGGGACCCCAGACACCATAATCGGAAACAGCGCACCACACCATCACTTGAGAGCTGTGGAGTGGTCATTGGTGAAGGTTCCGAGAGTTATTCTCAGCCCAGTAGTGGAAATTTTGTTTATTTACAGTCCTGGACAGGTGAAAATGGACCTCATCACTACAGATCAAAACACCTGTGGAAGGGATACTCTGCAGAATGTCACTGCACAAATTTCTTCATGTTTCAAAGTCTCTTTCACTTAACTCTTGCACTATGCGCATCTTGCATGGGTGCATTTTGAGGTCTCTATGAAGGATTCTTCTACTACGGGCAGATAATCCAAGTGCAGCGGTGTGCTTCCATGCAGAACGCTTGGGCGATTGCAAAATTGAAGCCCGCACTCTAGCCACATTTGCTGCCGATGTTGAAGTCCTGGTCCGGCCTGAAGATTTTCTTTTTAATGCAGAAGATGTCACTCTAAAATTTGATGCCCAATTTCTAATTGTTGGTCCAGTGGGAATGGGATCACGCTGACCGAGAGCAAAGTGAGTGTGAAAGGCTCGCTGGGTTTTGATCATAGAACCGCTGTTTTTAATAAACTCTTCCAGCACGAACACACGATGTTCTCCTGACCAAGCCATTGTGTGTACTGAAAACTGTACACTATAATGCCTATAACGATACCATCCCCACCACTCTACCCCCTCCCTAGCCTCAGCAATGACCTTGTGAATTTGGAAAGGTTAATATGCCCCACCACAAAAGTGATTAGTTCCTCTCAGAACTTCTTGTTATTTATATCTGGCCACATTTTTAACAGCCGAGGCCTTAGAGTGGAGCTCATGTGTGTGCCAAGCAAAGAAATTGTAATTACAATGTACATTACCTGTTCCAAGATTTGTGTGAGATGAACATAAGCATCGAGAGGTGACAATTTCACTTCAAGGATCAAACGATCCATCTTGTTCAACACTAATACTGGTCGGATATTCTCCAGCCATGCCTGCTTCAAAGCAGCCTGAAAAAATGTACTCACATATATTTTAATAAACACAATAAAATATGATATAACGAGCATGAACTGTGATGACATGTGTTATTATTATGAATCCTTTTAAATGTATTATCAACTTGATGCTGTTAATGAAAAAATTGTATTGAAATATAACCATATTATTATAAGTATCGGTAATTTTCTGTTAACAATCCTTCTTCTTCAGTTTCTATGGATTATGTACTCTGGCCTGTTCAAATTTAAAAGTGACTTCTGAAAGTATGAATCATGTATAGACAGTTCATAGGACTCATTTCATGGGGGACATCAGCCCAAAATAACAGTAAAAACCATCGGAATAATCCCTTCTCCACATGGTATCTTAATCCATGATCCCCTAAGTTCAAGAGGCTAAATTTATTTAAATTTGCTGTTGGTTGCCATATTTCTGCAAGCTGAGATGTCACATCAGAACAACTTCTCTATCCTTGATTTAAATAAATCACCTGCGTCTGTGGGCACACTCCTTCCACAACATCCACCACTACAATGGCTCCATCACAAAGCCTCACAGCTGTAGACACTTCTGATGCAAAATCCACATGACCAGGAGAATCTATCAGATTAACGAGATATTCTTCTGCTCCTGTACAAAAAATACCAAAATGAATATGCTAGATCATGTATTAACGTAAGCACATTGGAACATAAAGCTGTTATTTTAAGACTGAAAGATAAAAGTAAAGCTGTCCTTGTGCTTAATTAATTAAGCACCATGCCGTGAAGAAGTATGGGGGAGTTGAGGTACAGCTCTACCATTCTTAACCTCAGCAATAGTTGGAGGTGAGTGGGCAGCTTCATGTCCTGACCATTTTACCCCTATTGGAGGCTGGGTTGGCCCCAAAGTTAGTCTAAAGTCTGTGGAGTAGAGAAAAATCTCTTTCCTCTGCCATCCATTCCCATGCCCATTTATATACCGACTGAGCTATCCCAGTGTTATTCTAAGATTACACATTGGTATTCTGAATGATGGTATGACAAAGCCTGTTATGAGAAAGAAATAAAATAAAATTATCATTTTGAAACATAGCTATTACTGTGTACTATGGAGTAACCACTAAAATTTCAACAAATTTAACAACATTTGAACAGTGTTTAAATTTCACCTACAAGTGGGCAGTTTATATATACACCCACATGTATTAGTGACTATAGATGGGGTTCAGATCGGTTAATAGATTTACTGTCCACTTACAGGTTGTGACTACAAATAACTATAACACTATTTCTGATTTCCAAACTACAAATCATTCCACACTACGCTTTCTAAGTCTACTTTCACTAGTCTTTACTTGGAAGCAGCACTCCACAGAGGCTATTCCTCTGCAGTGTTTCCTGGTAAAGAATCTTAGCATTGGAGATTCCCTCAGCTTCTGTTTTCCACTGGTTAACACTCCATAATTGCACCCTCAACCGCACTGCACTCACTCGCTGAACAGAACATGGTTCATTGAGTCATATAGCCTCAGAGCAGACCCACATAGAACACTGCCTGCATCACCTCTTCTATTGTTGTGTGATGTCACCACACATGCATATGCTGTGGTCACTACACAGCAACATCTGCACGCGTCATGTATCATGACACCTCCTCTACTGTTACGTGCAGGCATTACCTAGCAACGGCTGACATTTACAGACTCAACTCTTAGCAACAGGTCTATACACTACAATACATGGAGAGATTATCTGAGGGCCTGCTATAGCTACTCAGTTGCAAGAGCCACATGCTACTTTTCCAGCTTTGCCTGCGCACATCTGTACTCTTGGCATGGTCAACAAACCAATAACCTGTATACATTATAATTTCTCTTCAACACTGTTCCAATGAGTTATTGAACGGCTACTGCAAAGCTAGATTAGCATTACATGCAAGTCGATTTTAAACCTGAGACCCTGCTACAGTTCATTTCATTGTATCTCTTCTAGAGTCAAAATACCGCATATGATTTACATTCTACAGCAAAAAGAGTTCATGCATAGCACCGACATGGGAAATGGTTATGTAACAAAAGGTGAAGATTCTGGCATCAATTTCAGAATGTTACAGATCCACGCAGAAAATCTCTTCATACAGGCATATATAAATTAACACACTGAGGACCGGTCGCATGATATCATGATTTTAGGACACGTTAGTTTGTAACACACTATACCTTACTCTGGCACCACCCAAGTTGCACGCAATGGCGTAATAAAACTCTGGAATGTTTGCTTACTTGTCAGTAACTTGATCTCACTGTTTTCTTAAGCCACTATAAAAGAAAATGCTTTGCTGCTCTTTGAGCTGTATCTATCAGCCAGTAGTTAGCGGTGGGGTATGGACAAGGACAAATTTTTCTCTGATGAGCCAGCTGACCTGCCTTGTGAGACGCATAGTTATGGTGATTGAGAGAGCGGCAGTGACAGGGGAGAACAAAGAACTGTGTCCACAGACAGTAAAAGTGACAGTAGCTCTGACGATAATGGGGGTAATAACATTGCGGGGATAGTAAAAAATCTAAAAAAATCGCAAAAATCTAAACCCTGATTCGAAATTGAAATACAAAGCATTTCTGATGACTGTGGCAAAGGCCTGGGCTACAGACCAGATGGTGGCAGCAGAACCAGTGTCAGACACAGACTTAGTGCGACCAGGTCCATCAACTCCCACCCTACGCAGGCCTCATGTGGATCCCCCAGGGCGACTCTCAGGTGATATGCGGAAACATACCCTCGTGAAAATTGTGAAGAGTGAACATTCCAAGGGGAAGCATCCTTCTAGGCAATGCCGTGTTTCCACAGTTCATAAAAAAAGGAGTATGTCTACATTTGCAAGTTCTGTGTAATGCCACTTCACAAAGGGGAATGTTTCCAGAAATATCACACCCTCATGCACTTCTAGGAGCATTGGTAAGTGTTCTCCAAAAATTTTAGTTCATAAAATTAATTAGGAGAGTTTATATTAATTTTTAAAGTGAACAGAGCAAGTGTTAGGATAGTAGGTTTAATAATGGTGTCCCCAGGGTGATTTAAATATTTAAATTGCCAGTCCTTAATGTGTTACGACAGACAGGGTTGTTACTGAAAGAAACAATTAGTTCTGGGAAGACTTAATCATCTATTTTTCTTTGACACGACATGGCCTGCATAGTAAACAATGCATCCAACAATTCTTCCATTGCTGCGTGTGCATTTATTGCCACAGGAACGTTCACAACAAAACCCATGAACTACAAGCAATACAAACACATCCATGCTGTCGAAGATTGTGCTAACAGGTCTCAATACAAAGACTGGATTAAACTGTTTTTATTAAATTTAATAGGGCTGACCTATGTTAAACTGAATTTTAATCTTAATTAAGGAGTAATGATAACTAGCCATATGCAACACAATAACAACAGTTCAGCATAACGACAGACACCTGATGAAGGCCATGTATGGCCGGAACATGTCATGAATGAAGAATAAAAGTGACTATAACCTTTTGTTGCGTTAGTGATGGAAATATATATTGTCTGAAATAACTGTTTTTGGGGGATATAAATATGGGGACCTGGCACTCCAGGTTGGAAGAGTCTCGAATCTGAGGCAGTACAATATGGTCATGAACCCGAGAATCATTGCACTGGCAAGGACCAGCAGCAACTGTAAACGACAGACCCATGCTCTCGTTAGAGAGGGTGCTCCACATCAACAAACCCACAACTGTCTAACCATAAGAAAAACCTGGTCTTGGGCCCCAGATGGATGTTTGACACCAAGACAGGCTCGCCAACAGACTGCTGATTGTAACATAACTTTGTCTTTGAAGTTAGTTGTGAATTAGTCACCTGCCAGCAAGGATGTGAGCATGGAATTTGAGGAATCTCCATTGTTCAAAGCCGCTACCTAGCAACACATCCTGAAGACATAACAATGTAAGAAGACTTAGTGTGTGCTGTAGTCACTTAACAGAGCATGTAAACTAGTGAGTGTTATAATCATTTGTACAGCAGTTATGGGTTACAAGCGTTCAGTATATGCAATTACCAATCCAGACCCCACTGTCTAGTCACTACCACATGACAATATTTTAAACTGGGTCTGTACAACATATTTTTTCCTTCCTAAAAACATGTTGGTCAATACTCTCACACTCAGTTTTTGCCGAGGCCAACAAATACAATGCAGTGACAGATGTGTAATTATTGACTATTAACCTGTTTGATGGTGAACATCAATTATTTTCCATTGTACATACTGTTATATACCAGCTTTGAAAAAAAATGCTGGATACATAATATCACTTACCTTTACTATGTAGCAGAGAAATGGAACTGCTTTTCATTGTTATTCCACGCTCCTGTTCATCCTTACGGCTATCCATATATCTGTAATTTTAAACAATATTTATCTATTATATTACATCACTCTGAAAATTATATAAATAAAGTGCCATTCAGTTATAAAGGACTAAATCACAGCACAGAAACTGGTAAAATGTGGATCTAACATAGATCACCAAATTAGCTGCTGGCTTGGAGCTTCTGAAAGAACGCTGGTAACACCACATGACAAATGTTATTGTGTAACCTTTGTAGGATGATGACCACATTTTATTATACAAGTCCTTTTTATAAGTGATCTCATTTGAGGTTAAAATGGTGACACAATCTCATTCTTAGTTTTCCTCATAACCTTGTCGAAGACCCTGGTTCAATATTCCAGAAGCTAAAACTCTTCAAATACTAGATAAGTGGATATTTTAGACACATCAATAATATCCTGAATTTTTATGATACACAGACTGCACAAATAAATAATATCAGAAGTATTTCAATGATCTACAACTGGAACTAAAATTCACCCCAGAAAATTAAAATAATAATAAACTAAATTATGTAGATTTAACTGTCACTAACCAATCAGGACAAATGACAGCTTCAACAATCTACAACATTAACTAAAATTCATCACAGAAAATTAAAATAATAATAAACTAAATTACAGAGATTTAACTATGACTAACCAACCAGGTCAACTGAATTTAATATATATCAGAAACCTACTTTTACATGCCAAATGATCCCCAGTGGATTCTGCCACTCATATGAATGTAAAAATAAGCCACAAACCACCTAACTGATAAACTTGGTCAATACCCTAACCCACACTTCACTTCACACCCACTTCAAGCACTGGCAGTAAGTCATGCATTAATCCTGAGCCACTTAAAACAGAACAATATCCCACTGAAATAGAAAATAGTATGACTATAACATTATTTGTCCTCGTGGTTGCACAGTATTACTTTACCTAAGTTTTCCAGCCATTTTTGGAGATATAATGCCATTAGTAGCCACCAAAGAATCAGCCAATGTAGTTTTCCCATGATCAACATGAGCAAGGATACATATATTACGTATTCTGCTTGGGTTGCTCTGTAGTTCCTTCAACTTCTGGGGGTTGAGAAGCCTCATCTCGATAAAACGCTGAAACATTTGACCAGAGGTCCACAATTTTATGAACAAAGAATATTACAATTAAAAGAAGACAAGGTTGTCAGTCTGTGTTCTGGTTTTTACATTTTTATTTTAGATATACACAATTTTTATATTACTGTATACTAGTCTTTATTTCAATTTATTATATAATTAATGTATGTTATACAAAACTCTTTAATGACATTGTGTTTTAACTATTGAATTTTTAATTAATAGACTTGTATAAAACTGTACAAATTGTATAAGGTTTGCCGTTACTTTTACTACTAAAATTAACTCATTTATTATATTGTATATGTTTATCAGTATTTTATACAAATGTGTATGCTATTGGATGACAACTGTAATCCTTAGTTGTGACTGCAACTAGGACGATCCCCACATCCGCATGAGAATGTACTCTCGACAGGATTTATAGAAGGTGAATAAATGAAATGAAATATCATCGCTGTTCTTAACTTCAATCTATAGAACAGGGATCATCAACCTTTGTAGCATAAAAGACAACTAAGAGAAGTTTATAACTTGTAAGAAGCTCCATATGGATCTACTACAGAAAATAATAACATGCAGCTTTATGTATCTGCATCCTCTGCTCCCTTTGGGAAATGTTACATGCTGTTATTTACACTCAACCCCTCAATCAATGACACCTAAACACAAACTAAACATTTAAAACACCTGGGCACTGAAGAGAGATTAGGTTCACAGAGGGGATACCACCACATGCCTTGTTACCTTCACTGAATAAGTAATAAATTATCATGAATATTTTAAAATCCTTTAAGGCATTCAAACCCCCTTCCAAGAACAAAAAGATGCTAACAGACATATGGATAATGATAAATCTCAAAGACAGTCACCATTCTTTCCAAAATCACAATACAAGGTGTATGTCAGGTCTATGCAAACATAAAGACTACATCTAACACCTGTAAACTAGCTACTGACTGGAATTTAAAATCTCTACTTATAAATAGTACAGCTCAGTTTAACAGCTGCTTGATAATTTTCAATTGCCATTGAATGGTTAAACTGACTCAAAAACTTGTAAAGAAGAATGTTTAAAGTCAGATATTTACATTTACATTTATTTTTCACTTCATGGATGCAATCACCTCCGCGTGGGGCTGGATATAAAACATGTCACATATTACAAATTCATGGTGACTACACATCATACGTCCTTTGTCCAATAAAGTACATAATCAGGCCTCACGCAGACAGCACAAGCTGTCAAGACAACACACACAGGCCATGGAGACACCCCTGTCACATTCAACCCTGAAAAAATTCCCTTACACCCTTATATTACATTGTCATCATTAGCACTTACACTTTCTGACTCAGTAAATATTTAAGGGGATAAATATAAAAGTGCATTCAAAACTTCAAGAAAAGAGGCAATCATGACTATCCTATCAAATTGTTCTTGCCCCTCCCCCACATAACCTTCAATGTCTTTTCCAGACAAGGCTAAAATATGTAAGTTTTGAGGTTTTCACTGCGATGACTATGAAGAAAGTCGTCTTCTAAAATAGTTTAAAAAATGTGCATGGATTCCCCATTGCCAGCTCCTAACTACATGCCATGTATGTTAATTCTAAAGGTGGTACATACTATACATTGCTGTCCGAAAACCTTTTCATTATGATTACTTAAATGTTGGCGCTCATACTTCCTTTGGTCTGGCTAGAGTTAAACTCAACTGACATCCATCATAAAATTTGGTATCCTGCTGCGATAAATTTATTGGTTGACAGTATACAATTAATTGTGATGCTGACAATGAACAATACCAGGAACTGCTTACCTTACCACAGTATTCCAATTATAGCTTTCGCATGGCCGCAGTACGCTATGGCAAACTTTACGAATATGCTTTCAGAGCCACATACAATTTGGCTGACACAGTAACCTGTTCATGACATTTACGAGCATCTGTTATAATATGCATCTAACCATAACTGCGAGAAGTTACTTTAAGATGTAATTGTCTGTTCTTTTTACATTGCTACAGGCACTACCTTTCATGTAGTCTGATAACACATGTGGACTACACGTAACCTAAAAAATTCCTTAAACTTACTTCGAAATACTCTTGATAAGTATGTTCAGACAAGGAGCAAAACGGTTTAGCAAACACACCATCACAGTACTATATAACCATAATTAGCACCGATGTGATGAATTATGAGATTATACTTTCGCACAGATGGTGCAATCACATTCAAATCACACACCACAATAACCGAAACAATATAGCCAATGTGATAATTTTGGTGCTGTAACATATGAACATATTAGCTATAAGTTGCAGCAACTTTGATGTACACTCTGTACAGTGGCTTAAAATTACTAACGTAATGCAAAATGGGGTTATAATGTCATGTTTTAATGTATCCTTTTCTGGATTTCCATACATCTCATGCAAAGGTAAATTTATCCATTTACTATTATCGCACACTGCGCAAATCAGACAAGTACATTCTGACCAGAAATTTTTATATTAATTTTAAGTTAACCTGTACATTAGAGTGTGGAACTAAAAATGTAAAATTTTAAAGTTTGAACTTTTTAAAGATATATTCATAACGAAGTTCAATTTTATATCTGTATACACTGTGCAAGTTCACTTAGCGCGAAATCAGACTGGGCATTATGCACTAGCGACATCTTACCTCAACGGCCTATAGTTCGCACGGTATGCATGACTATATCATTCATATGATTCATGTAAGATGTCCCTACACTCTATAAACCTCATGCTCATCAGAAATTACAACTGATTGTATTGGAGTTCATCAGTGTCAATTAAAGCATATTGTAACGGATATTTCTTCTATTTAAGTAATAATAATAATGATAATTTCAATAAATTAAAATATGAAGAGTATGATCTTCTGAGTTAATACCTCCTCTTTGCTCTTTTCTGGCTTTGGCCCTGAAGATGGAGGCCTTAAGTGCCACGAGATCCTACCTTACTTTTAGGCATGAAGTTATATGTGTATGTCAAACTACATGTTATTTCTGTGTTGTGCTGCGAGTCATTCCTTCTTCTAGTACATGGGGCATGACAGAAAAGAATTTTCCTGTAGCACAATATATCTGCTCTGCATTCTTTCTGCTTCTATTCATGTTGTAATGGCTTCACTAGTGCTGCTTAGTTTTGGCTGACTGTATAGCCATTATGGTAATTTTCTATGTCTTGATCATATTTGTTGACTACAGAATGGTGTTTTGGTTGCAATACAGTATGTTTTACAGTGTCACGGTAAGGGCCGGAATAGCAGGAAAAACATGCAGCATTGATTCTGTACAATACATACATATATGCTATTGAAAGTGGTTTCACAACACCTGTGAAGATGCATCCAAAGAAACAGTTCCATGTGGCTGTGTTTTAGCTTCACATTCAGCACCAAACCTTCTAACCCTTTATTATTCTCATATATCTGTTCTTTGTATTTCTTGTCTTCAGCCTTATCCCCTGAAGATGACCATTATGCCCATCTCCCACCAGGACATAGGCAGCTTCTTTCACCAATTACCAATTCCAAGCAATGCAGACAGCCCTTCCACATCCGAATGTGAGAATGAAGACATTGTGCGATGTCAATGTTCACTGAGACAGCCACTTGAATCTATATCAACAAATGTTTGTTGTGTTTAGAACGTGTATTACAAACGAGTGGGAGCATGTCTGGAGAATACCAGCAGAGACTCCTTTCGTGGCGGCTGGTCCAGTCCGGCAATTACGATGTCGAGTGCAGGCCCTGAAAAGGGCCGGATTGTCTAGCAGTGTCTTCTTGTAACAGCCCAATGTCCTTCTCTTGCTGCAGCGGCCAGTGGTCCTATGGTGCATGCACCAGTAGAGTTACGGCAGTGGCGGCTTCATGATGTCAGCGTAGCTACGATGGCTGTGATGGTGAAGGACTGATGGTAGCCAGTTGGAGGCCTGCATTTTTATACCATTACCGCTGGGCAGAGTTGGCGATGGAGCTGCGATTATGAGCACTGATTGGATAACACTTGTGTTGGTGTCCAGAGGGCCAGGTTGCAAGCAATGTATAAATATTGCCTGTTTTCGGTGCACTGCGGGAGTTGTCTGTTATGCACTGTGGGAGGTTCCCACATCACCTCCCAGTGGACATGGTTGCTCAGATGTTGAAGCACACAGGAAAATGGATGTGGCGACCGGAGCGTGTGGTTCTTGTGGTGGTCTGTGACTGCATAGTAGGTGATGCCACAGCTGGGGTTGTGTCGACTGGAGAGTTGAAGTTGCTCCCATGGTCTGTCCCTTTGAGAATGTAGGCTGGCTTGACCCTATCGGCTGACACAGTGATGTGCCTCCCACACATGAGGAGTTGTATTGTCTTCTCCCTCCATGATAGGACCTGGTAGGGGGCTCTAAAGCTCGGCATGTTGCATCCTGACAGAGGAAGACGTGGGTGCACGTCTCGAGGTCGCTGTGTACGAATGTAGCCAGGGAGGTGTGGAGTGCTGCTGGAACTGGTCTGAGGTGGGCCATGTGCTGGCGGAGCTCAGTGATGAGGTGTGCTGGGTCCACAGGGCCGGTGGCTGGAACTAGTAGCTCACTGGGAATTCTTAAGGGCTCACCATACAAGAGCTCAGCTACTGATGCTTGCAGGTCCTATTTGAAGGTCATGCAGATTCCGAGAAGAACCAGGGGAAGTGCCTCAGTCCACTGTTGGTCCGCATGGCACGATGGCTGCCTTCAGTGTCCGGTGGAAGCATTCCATGAGTCCATTAGCTGCAGGGTGGTGGGCAGTTGAATGTGGGAGCTGGATGCTGCACAGCCTGGCCAGGGAGTGGAAAAGTTGAGACTCGAACTGACATCCCTGGTCGATGGTGATGGTCCGTAGGAAACTGAAGCGGGAAATCAAGCCAGTCAGTAGGGCATGTGCCACTGTATTGGCTGTGATGTCTGGAATGGGGATGACTTCTGGCCAGTGGGTGAAATGGTTGAGTGCAGTGAGACAGTATGTGTAGCCCACTGTCGGAAGGGGTCCCATGAGGTCCATGTGCATGTGCAGAAAACGAGCTGCCAGCTGTGTAAAGTCGCCCAATGGAGTAACTGTGTGACGGGAGACTTTGGAGCGCCGGCAGGACTGGCAAGCACGTGCCCAGCAGTGCAATTATTCTGCATGGTTTGGAGGAAGGTATGACAGGAGCAACCACAGACATGACACTAAAAAAAACCAAACTTTCAACATGAAAATAACCTAAAAGTAATCTTGTTACATAATTTTACATCTTGAATGGGAGATTTCTATACATAACGAATTTAATCTTCAAAATAGTTTAACATATTGCAAAACAGTCATAAATTTACATTAACATCTTCAGTTTAATAGAAAGCAGCAATTTTAAGCAATTACAACACAATTAACACGGTCTACAGTAACAGTAACAAAGTATATATAGGAAAACTGGGAGATATTTCAGGACAAGATATAAGGAAGATATCCACGACATCAAACACAATAAGGACATCTCAAAATATTCAACACACAACCTGGACATGTAGCATGATTATGGAAAAACTGAGGGCCACATGGGTGTTTTGAAGATTATGTCTAAAGGAAGGGACATGGATACCTGGGAACAACTTTACGTACACAGATTGAATGGAAAAAGAAAAAAAAAATCTTCAATGAACAACATATGAGTGAAAATGATACACATTTCAAACTTGTGCTAAGAGATAAATATCAACAGAGGAGGGATACCATATTACAAATCATGTAAGTGGCAGTGCTTTACAAACTACCATCAAAGAGGTAATGAAGACAAATAATGTGGCAAAACATGTCTGCGAATGAATTTATGAAGAAATTGCTGCAATAAGTGCAGATGGTCAGTTACAAGAAATAATGTTTGTAAAAACACCTCAGACATGAATTCATTCAAGATATACTATAGTAAGAAAGTAGCAAATCTGAAATGTCAGTAACCTGATATAATATCCTGGCATTTCTCTGTACCAGACAGATCTGTGATGCGGCCATGACTTGGTCACCAAAGCCTCCTTGTGGAAACAATGTGTACCCAGGAAGGTGAGGATTGTATTAGCCCTTCATAAGTAACACTGGGGCTGAATTTGTAAGTTACTAACAGTGACTTTCACCTTGCTGTCCTGGTAATTCCCACGTTTATATTAGATGGACGAGAGGATAATGGGGGGGAAAAAAGGGCACAAGCAGTTTAGTGAGATCTCGGCTATGAGATCTACAAGAGGGATGCAACATTGTCTGGTATAACCATCGCAACAGTACAACTCAATTTAAGACCTCTGAGTTCTATTATACACATACAGTGGTATAACCATAGCTACAGTACAACTCATTTCAGACCTCTGAGTTGTATGAGGGTTGGAACTTTAATAGTGGCAACTATTTATTTACAACTGATAGAAAATAGATGCATGTTTCAAAGTTTTACTGTCCTTCAATGTAGTCACCAGCATTGTGTATAACCTGTTGCCAGTGATGTGGTAATCGTAGGATACCTTTAGCAGCGCTTCTTGTGCTGATAGTTCCAATGGAGTGGTCTACTGTCTGACGAATCTCTGGAACAGTTCTGAAGCGAATGCCACAATGTGGTTCCTTCATCTTAGGAATCAAGTCGAAGTCAGAAGGGCTTAAGTCCGGGGAGTATGGTGGATGGTACAGCATTTCCCAGCCCCACTGATCGAACAAATCAGCCACAGCTTGCGCTGCATGCGGCCAAGCACTGTCCTGCAAAATGATGGATAGGTTCTGCAGAAAGTGTCGCCATTTCGTTCTCAAAGCTGGTTGCAGGTTTTGTTCCAAAAATGAACAGTAATACTGCACATTGACGGTCTGCTGTCGGGGAATGGTATGCATTAGGATAACACCATCACAGTCATAAACAAAGAATCACCATAACTTTCATATTGCTGGGGTTCTGACGAACTTTTGATTTTCGTGGTGACTCATAATGATGCCATTCGTTCGATTGGCGTTTCATTTGTGGCTCATACGATTTGGCCCATGTCTCATCCAGCGTGTTGATATGGCCTAAGAAAGCCTCTCCTTCACGCTCATAGCGCTCCAAGTGATTACGAGCAACGTTGCATCATAGCCATTTCTGCATTTCCATCAAATCATGCGGAACCCATCGTGATGCAATTTTTCTCATGCCCAGGCATTCCTTCAGAATGTGAAGCACAGTTGTATGTGCTAATCCTGTCTCTCAGGCCAGCTCACGAATCATATGGCGCCAATAACTCTCCAGTAACGCAGAAAGAGCATACACTTCTTCTTCACTGACACTAGGACGACCTGGCCGATGCATGTCTGCCACATTTTGGTGTCCCTCATTGAAGGCTTTTTCCCACCTTGTCACTGTTCTGTAAAGCAATGCAGATTTCCCGCAAGCCTCTTGAAGACCTTGATGATACTGTCGTGCTGTATGGCCTCTGGCACATTCAGTCTTTATCCAACTCTGTTGTTCCTGTTTCCAAAACATCGTGACAACACTATATTAGATCGCCAGCTAACACGAGGCTCTGTTCTTCTCATTACTGCGCATGCGTGTGATGTGGGAAGGGAGAGTCCATTTGCTCTGAGGTAAGGTAGGTATGTAACTAATGTTTGGTATAAGCGAAATTATTTGGTTCCACTGCATGGCGTCTCTACAGCAGTGTTGCCACTATTAAAGTTCCAACCCTCGTATTATACAGGAACAGCGGTATAACCATAGCTACTGCACAACTGAGTGGAATACTGCTGGCTAGCTGCATAACCACAGCTACAGTACAACTCAATGCCACAGCTCTTTCCTGTATCAGAGTACACCACTGCCTCCTAGTGGCATAGCCATAGATACCGTGCAACTCAACACCACAGCCCTTAGCTGTAGCACTGGCAGCATAACCATAGCTTTGCACAAGTCAGTGCCATAGGTCAAAGCTGTACTAGAGGCGTACACCACTGCCTGATTTTGGCATAATCACAGCTACTTCACGACTCAACACCATAGCTCTGAGCTGTAATAAATAGGAATTTCACTGTATATGTATACAGTAAAGCCCTAATCTCCACCCTAAAATGAACTGAAGGGCAGTCGGATAATCAGAAATGTCAAATGATATGAATAGCATTAAAACACATAGCAAGTATCTATACAACTCAGTTCAGAATTGTATTGCAGCTTGCACAGCAGTTTCTAGGCAATGATGTCAAACAAAGAGGTTCCTGCAGCAATAGTCAGCACCCACTAGTGGAGGTACTGTTGGAAGCAGGGTTTTCTACAGTGGACTGTGCCAAGGGGTTATAAGGAGGACAAATGAAGCAAGAAAACTGAGTTGGAAGGGTGGCATCATTCAGAGAGGACTTGAGCCAGGAAGCAGAGGAATAGCCATTGTTAAAAGCCATTACAACGTAACTACTAGTGAAGACACTGTGGGCTGGAAAAGTCTGAGCGTGTGCTCTAGTGAAATGTAAAGTGGGGAAGTTATCGACGGCGCTATAATTAAGTGTAGATATAAGTTGTGTGTTAAAGTGGTCAATAAATCCAATATCCACTCCAAAACCCTGTCGAAAGTCACTCGTATTATATGAAAGTCTTATAAAATAGCAACATGTAAATAATATTTAGTTGGTGACAACAATATCAAAAAGATACACAAAAGTAATTTTTATATGTGAGAAATTCATATATGCATGGTAAAATCTCAAATCCCATTATTTAAAGAGGCATTTGCGGCTCAAGTCAAGTTGGATAACATAGAATGTCAAATAAACAAACATTGGATAATTGGGATTCTGCTCTATATTTATATTTGTACTTCTCTGTCCACATCATTACTGGATGTAGCATATGTAAGTTAAAATGGTTCCAATCAGAAATGTAAGGACTTCAGCAGGTCATCAGGTAGAGTATCAAATTGTATGAAAAGTTACAAGAGTAAAAACTTTCAAATGAATTTAAGTAGAACAATAAAATAAACACCATATTTTGATGTACTTCACTATACTTCAGTTCAAATTGTACAATTTGATATAAGAAATGCTATATTCCTGAATAGTTTGTGCAGATTTGTACAATGAGGAAACCCTTGCAATGTTCTAAATGCAGCTCTTGTAAAATGGATGGAACTGGACAGAAAATTGCCCAAGCAGGAACACCCAACTTGTAGCCTACAAAAGTTGACAGCATTTTCACATTCAGACTCAGTTTGTGACCATATGGCAACATGTACTGTAATATGTAATCTATATTGGTCATCATTACCCTTGGACATGGAAATACCCATGAGTATTTTCATCTTCAGTTGAAATTGGCATTATACAACATAAACCATTGCTTATGCTACAGCACATAATCAAGCACTAAGCTTGTTTATAACAAAATGTTCTTCAAAAGAGTTCAGAAAATACAAAAATGGCTCACATAGCAGATTTAACTAGTAACAGTTAGAAAGCAATATGGCCATTAGCTTTAGCACTTGTTTCTTATTTTTCACATGATGTTTACACTATAATGTTTATCCCTTAAGTAGGATATATACACTCCTCGCTGATATACAAAATATAACTTTGGTAAACGCAATTCAATAATCTAATATATTCAAAATTATGATCTTCTGACATATGATGCCATGTAGTTTGCTAGATGGATACATCACATTTTGGTGGAACCTGCTGCCTGCATCTTCTGAGGAGAAGAGCTGGATGAAGATCTTCCACCCTGAAGAGGAAAGCAGTAAGTTTCTCTAAAATGTTTACACCCATATACCAAACTACTTGACATTACATAGCAGAAGGCTATAACCTTGATACCACTATTAGAACCTAAGATTTCATACAATGTAAATTTAAATTGATATAACTCCTGTGAAATATCTGTAGAGTATAAACTGTGATCCTCTGGGTCATGATACCATGTAGTCTTGTAAGCAGATACAGGTACATGTTGCGTCTATCTTCAGGGTCAAAGTTTGTAGGGTATTAAATAAAACAGCAGTAATACAGGCACTCTGCAAGGAAGTTTGTCACACAGACACGTGTGGGGGTAAAGAAATGGAGCCTGATTCAGGCTAGTGGGAACAGTAGGTAGGAAAGCAGACTCTTTAAGGGGCACACCACGTTTCTCATCACAGGAGGGAAATGGAGCTGTGAGAAGAGATTGTTATGTTGGCAACTCTCTAATGTCAAAATATAATGTTGGAGTTGGCAACATCATAGTAAACAATTTTCAATAACACACTGTGCTACATGTGCTGTTCCTAATTTCTTTACTGTTATGTGTTACTACAGTTACTCGTATGTGTGTAAAAACAGAATCTCTCTATTGTTATATGTTACCATGGCTATGTGTGTGAATACATATGAAACGCCTTTGTGTATCAAAAGTTAGTCTTACCCCATGTGGAAGCAGGGTCAAATACCTCCACCGTGACCCTGCGAGTCATAGGAAGTGACGAAAAGGGAAGTCTCAATTCTGAGACAATAAAAGAAGGTTGGAACCTAGACACCAAGAGATACAGAAGTATTGGTCGGGAGATTGTGTAACCAGTACTTGTAAAGCTGCAAGTCATAATAGTTGTAAAGTGTGCAAGTGAATTACAATAAAGATTCGCTATATTTAATACAGCATAAAGTTATTTGTAGCATGACATACCCAAACACACTACATTTGGGACTGACACCGCCACCAAGCCAAAGAGACAAGTTTCATCATGGCCACTTCAAAGCCCTTCGTGAATACTGATAAGCTCAAAGGATGCGAAAATTATAGAGAATGGTGCTTTGATATTCAGAATGTTCTAGTGATTGAAACTGTGTGGACAGCAGTCAGTGGATATGCTGCAGAAGATACAACTCCCACATCCCTCAAGAAACAAAGGACAAGAAAGCCAGAGCCATCATTTGTCTGACATTGGAGCCCCAAGTTAAATTTTACATTGTCCAGACAACTACAGCAAAGGAAGCCTGGGACGCATTGGAAAGAACATTCAAAGATCAGGGTGTCAATAGTTGGATAAGTATTTTAACTGATTTGTGCTCTTTGAAACTTGAGGACCATAAAGTATGCAGCAATATGTTAATGCCTTCATGTCAATAAATCTTAGATTAGTCTCAATGGGCATAAAAATAGGAGATGAGCTATTAGCCTCTTTAATGTTAAAGGGTTTAACCAAAGAGTATTATCCCATGCGTATGACACTTGAAAATTCCAATGTGACTTTGACTAGTGAGCTCATTAAATCTAAGCTATTGCAAGATACTGAATTTGGTAAAAATGCAAATTCAGATTCAGCCTTTCTGTCCAGAGATAAGTTTAAACGTAAACCACCAAAATGTAAAATTTGTGGTAAGCTAGGCCATATAAACAAAAACAGTTGGTTTAAAGATAAGGATAAGGCAAACAATAATAATCACAACAATCAACACAACCAAAAATTTAAGGGCAATCAGTCTTCTAAATCAGTTCATAGTACTGATGAAAATAAAGAAAGATCTGATCAAAGGTATACTGAAAATAAATGGAAAAATAAGACCAGCAAAAAATCCATGTATGTGGTATCTGCCTATCATGTTAAAATTAAGGATGATACTTGGGTAATAGACTCTGGTGCTTCATACCATATTATCGAAAATAAGACTGTTTTGAAAAATTATAAAACACATGATTCTAAGGAACATGAGATAAGTCTTGCTGATGATAATGTGTTAACTAGTGCAGGTTTTGGTGATGTAAAACTTGTGAATGACAATTTTAGCCATATCTCAGATGCACTACATGTACCAAAATTATCTACAAATTTGTTATCTGTGAACTCAATTGTAAACAAGGATATGATTGTGTTATTCACCAAAGACTGTTGCAACTTATATGATTCTGATAGTTTTGAGGTAACAGGCAAAGTTCTTGCCAAAGCGTATCCCAAAAATGGGATTTATTGATCAAATACCAAAACTAACTTGACCGAATCTGCAAATATTGCAACTAAAGATAAGATTAATACCAAAGAGAATAATGACAAATGTGAGAAATCTTGTACTAATATTGTAAAGAATGACCAATTTGCAGGTACCCAGCAAATTGATGAACAACTGTTGTGGCATAGGCGTTTGGGGGATTTAAATAGGGTTGGCATGCGGTTGCTTTCAAAAAGGTTTAGCTAGTGGCATTGATTTTCAAGAACAAGAAGATCAGTCAAAGAAATGTGTTCCATGCCTGGAAGGGAAGATGACAAAGAAGCCTTTCCTACAATCAAAGAATAAATGGTCAAAAAGGATACTCGATCTATTACACTTAGATCTGGTTGGGCCATTTGAACTACCCTCTTATGGGAATGCTAAATATTTTTTGACTATTGTGGATGATCATAGTAGAAAAATCTTCATTTGTTTCTTGAAACAAAAAAGCGACACATATGAAGACCTTAAAGAATTTATGAAAATGGTTAAGACAGAAACTGGATTGACTATAAGAGCTGTTTGTTCTGCTAATGGTGGTGAATTTTGCGGCAAATTATTCAATGACATGTTAAAACAAAAAGGAGTTAAAAGGGAATTCTCTGTGCCATATAATCCACAACAAAATGGAACTGCCGAACGAGCTAATCGCAGTATTTTGGAGAAAACAAGATGTATGTTGTATGATTCCAGCTGCAACAAAAGATTCTGGGCTGCTGAAGCAGCACAAACAGCCGTATATCTTTTGAACAGATCACCTTACAAGGAACTAAAGAACCAATTGCCTGAAGAAATATGGACAGGAGAAAAGACTGATCTCTCCCACATAAAAATTTTCAGATGTCCAGCTTATCCTCATGTACCATCAGAGAAACGCAACAAATTGAATGCTGTGAGCAAGAAATACATTTTTGTGGGATATAGTGAGGATAGTAAAGCTTATCGGTTATCAGATCCCCTCAATCCGTCTCAAATAGTTAAGGCAAGATATGCAGAATTTCTGGAAGAAGAAATTATAAACAAGAAAGAGAGTGAGAAAGGATTTCAGCTTAAAGAGATTCTTCCAGAGTTGTCAAGTTTCTACCTCGACCCACAAGATGAAAGACTGATTCCGCAAGAACAAAACCCCAAAGAATAAACACAAGTAGAAAATGAGGAAATGAAGTTCCATTATAGCCGAACAGCTTAGAAAAATTACCAGGAAATTTGGAAGAAAGACGATATCCACTTTGGAACGGGAAACAGAAAGAATTTCTAGAATTTATTATCTACTTAGCCATGCATAAAGATGAGGAGTCAGAACCAGTCACACATGAAGAGGCACTGTCAAGTTATGATAAATCTAAATGGAAAGAAGCTATTCAACAGGAGTTAGAAGCTTTCCAAACAAATGAAGCAGGGACAATAGTAGACAGACCATTGAATAAGCCAGTAGTGAAGTCAAAATTGGTCTTCAAAATTAAACGAGATGCTGAAGGAAATATTGCATGTCACAGAGCACGTTTAGTGGCGAAAGGTTGTAGCCTAACAAAGGGAATAGACTATTTTGAAACTTTCACTCCCATAGTGAAACACTCATCAATGCATTTGTTATTTGCTTCAGCTGCTAATCATGATTGGAACACTGACCACCTTGATGTCGGTACCACGTTTTTAAACGGAGATATTGAGGAAGTTATATATATGGAGCTTCCTGAAGGATATGATATTAAGGGGGAGTCTAATAAAGTCTGCAAGTTAAAAAAATCAGTTTATGGACTAAAACAAGCTGCTAAAGCGGCCTCCGTAGTCTAGGGGTAACGTTCCCACCTCATGACTCAAGGTACGTGGGTTCAAACCTGGCGGAGGTCGTGGAATTTTTAAGGGCGGAAAAATTCAGGGAACAAGTATTCCGGGAGGGACTTTAAGCCGTGGGTCCCATGTCATAGCTTTATGGCATGTAAAAGAACCTCATGTCTCCAAAGGATGCCACTGAGCTAAATTAAGGACATTTCGTGCCCAACAGTAGTCTCTAACACCTCTGGTAGATGGGGGAAGCATCGAGATACCTCTGAGCCAGTAGAGGCCGACCTCGCTGGCTGAGTAGGGACTGATGGTAAGCACCAGTACCGGTAGGGTATAGAGGCTGGTAGAAGATCATAGGGGGACACACAACAGATCAAACTGGTCGCGGTGCATGGGGAAACCCACCCCCTCCAATAACAACAACAACAACAACAACAACAAAACAAGCTGCTAGGTCGTGGAATAAGAAAGCAACAGAGGTTCCGAAAAGCCTAGGGTACAAGTAAACTTGTTCCAAACCATGTATTTATATCAAACAAAAGGGTAATCTGTAATTAATATAGCATTGTATGTTGACAACTTCTTCATATTTCATAATGATAATGTTGAAGTTGAGAATTTAAAAACAAAATTGCAACAGTATTTTAAAGTCAAGGATTTGGGACCGGTTAAGAAATGTCTAGGAATGGACGTGAACAGAGAGAGGGCAAAGAAAACTATAAAGTTAACCCAAACTCAATATTTTAACAATGTTCTTAAGAGATTTAATATTCCTAATGAGACTAAACCAGTTAGTCATCCAATAGAACCAAACAGCAAATTGAAACCGTTGCCTAAATCAAATAAATCGATTGAGAATCTAGATGATGTGCCATATCAGCAAGCTGTAGGTTCAGTGATGTATTTAGCCATACACACANATGTTGAAGTTGAGAATTTAAAAACAAAATTGCAACAGTATTTTAAAGTCAAGGATTTGGGACCGGTTAAGAAATGTCTAGGAATGGAAGTGAACAGAGAGAGGGCAAAGAAAACTATAAAGTTAACCCAAACTCAATATTTTAACAATGTTCTTAAGAGATTTAATATTCCTAATGAGACTAAACCAGTTAGTCATCCAATAGAACCAAACAGCAAATTGAAACCGTTGCCTAAATCAAATAAATCGATTGAGAATCTAGATGATGTGCCATATCAGCAAGCTGTAGGTTCAGTGATGTATTTAGCCATACACACACGCCCTGATATATCTTTTGCTATGACTTATTTGAGCCAATTTAACACTTGTTTCATGAGACAGCACTGAGTTTTGTTAAAAAGAGTTCTAAAATACCTAAATACTATGAAGGATGTAGGTATTGTATATTCTCAGAATAATGATCAATTGGAAGGTTTTTCTGATGCAGACTGAGGTGGAAATTTAGATCGTAGATCCTTTAGTGGATCTGTGTTCAAACTATTGGGAACAGCTATCAGCTGGCAATGAAAAACAAAGGACTGTAGCTTTGTCAACCACAGAAGCAGAATAATGGTGTTATCAGAGACCACAAAAGAAGCCATTTTCTTGAGAAAATTATGGCTTGAAATATGTAACAAGGAAATCACTATTCCTCTTTTTTGTGATAATCGTGGTGCTTTAGCTATAGTGAAAAATCCTGTCAATAATGACCGAACAAAACCTACTGACATAAGGGTTCATTTTGTAAGAGAGAGGGTTGAATCAAAGGATTTGTCAGTACATTACATCCCAGGAAATCAATTAGTTGCTGATGGTTGCACGAAAGGTTTAAATGTACGGAAAATACTGATTTTATTAATTCACTTGGATTGTGCGAAGAATAATGTTTCCAAATGATGTTTAAATAATAATAATTCAATTCATTCAATTCAATTCAATTCAATNAAACTCCTAAAATTGTTTAAGGGGGAGTGTTATGTTGGCAACTCTCTAATGTTAAAATATAATGCTAGAGTTGGCAACATTGTAGTAAACAATTTTCAATAATAGACTGCACTACATGCACTGTTCCTAATTTATCTACTGTTATGTGTGTAAAAACAGAATCTCTCTATTGTTGTGTTACCATGGTTATGTGTGTGAATATATATAAAACGCCTTTGTGTATCAAAAGTTAGTCTTAATAAAGCGGGGTTAGATTGAACACTGATTCTTACTTATCATTCGATCCACATAGAAGTGACAATAACAGAGATGTCCCTTTTTCAGGGACAGAATATTGCCTAAATAACTAAGCCAATTCCTTGCACTGTATATTTCAAACCCTGAAGATGGGGTCATAATATTCACCCAAAACATTAGTATTCACTCATACAGCTATGTGGTGTCAAAACCCAGAAGAACGCAGTCTTAACAGTCGAGGCTATGAAATCCTCAAAACTTGTACAATACAACTCTGCCTTATATCAGCAGTTACATGTAGCATGTTGCAAAGACTTCTGACTAGCAAATAGTGCTTGGGAATGGAAGCAGTAGCATGTACATCACCAGTGGAAGTGCCAGGTTATCCACCTGATCAGTTTTTGCTTCTAACACTGAAGTCACCACAACTGCAAATGTTGCCCGCATAAGCATGACTCCACTGTATGGTATGTGTCCTACAGAAACACAAAAACAAAATTTTAAGATTCAGTTAGCTATGAAGCCCACAGGAAAATATTTGAAGTGCTCTCTCATACAGCATGTCCATGTCCATGAAAATACAGTTTAGATAAGATTCATTTTAATATGTCTAAGCTGTGTGCAAGTAACAGCAACTGATACTATGTAGTTCTGTTGTTGCAAGAATCCAGTTTTGTTACAACATATAGGTATTTCACAACTGTTGCAGCAGAGTGGATTACAAGGTTTTTGTTATGGCTTCCCTTTTTCTTTTACGAATATTTTCATTTTATAGAGGTCAATGGATGAAACGTCCTTTTATATCTGGGAATGTAATTATAAATTTAGAGGGAATTTCAGAAGGTTTTAGAGTAGTTAAAAACAAGTTTTAGTTCTTAATCTATCAAAGACTGTCCTGCTATGCTAAATGAGCAGAGCTTCAAGATTTGTGCTGTTCAGTTTTGGTATTATGACATGACACCTGAAAGCCGGAATAGCGGAGTCAGAGTAGACGTTCATTGCCAGGCAATGGCTCAGTAAAAAGGTTCCCATGGCAACGAATAAGCAAGCAACAATCGAGGTAATACAATGGAAACGGTGTTTTCTATTGGATCCACCAGAAGGCTATATAACGAGGATCCCAGGCCAGCTGAAGAAATTACTGAGGGAATTCTCTTAAGATGGCAGTCGAAGATGATTGAGAAGAGATGGAAACGAGTCAATTGAGACTTAAAAGTCAGCCTGCGAAGAGAAGACTTAGTGTACGATTTGAAGACTTTATGTGTGCTGTAGTTACAGTGAGACTGTGATAAATCCGTTGCCAGGATACGACTAGTGAAGACTGAGAACCTAGTGTGTGTAATGGTGAACTGTAAAGTGTGGATCAGTGATAGCGCTGTAATTATGTACTATCACACCGTCTCCACTAGTCATTTCCTGGTAATGGCTTCTAATAGCAGATTCCCCATATTCTGAGTTCCTGAACTATCCCCATGCCTCAGCTACCAGTTTCTGACAGCAACGACTCATATTGACTGAACTAACTCCCAGGCTGGCGGTCATCTCACACCACCCTCCTAGTCTTCCTTCACAGACTCCTTTACAAATAACTACTGCTCAACTGGTGTTATATAACCCCTTGGCATGGACTGCATAGAAAACGTTCCCAATAATTCCTCTATTGTTGAGCATGGACTTCTTGCTGCGGAAACCTGTTTGTTTCGTAGTCACAACCTAGTAATGCTACAATTTTTTGTAAAGTAACATGCTTTATTATTGACAAACCAAATACACCACCTCAATCTACAGACCTTTCCTTATTTTTCCACATAATCGCCACTTCTTTGTACACATTTCTCCCAGCGTTCTGGGAGCTTGAAAATTCCCCTTCTGTAAAATTCCATTCCAGCCATCCGAAGACACTGACACACTGCTTTCTGAATTGCCTCCCTTGCCTCAAAACGTTGTCCACGCAGCTGATCCTTCACAAATCCGAAAAGATGGTAGTTGGAGGGTGCTAGATCAGGGCTATAAGAAGGGTGTGGAAGAACTTAACACCCCATCTTTGCAATTGCTTCCAATGTGAGGCCAGTGGCATGGGGGCAAGCGTTGTCATGCAGGATGATGATGTTTCGTCCCGGACGTTTATCGCACAATGCACGATGGGGCTTGTGCAGTGTCTGGACATAATGAGCAGCATTGATGGTTTGCCCAGGTTCCAGGAATTCGGCCAGAATAAACCCCTCTGCATCCCAGAAGACTATGCCCATCACCTTCGCAGCTGATGGCACTGTCTTTGCCTTCTTTTTTGACGGAGAATGCAAATGGTGCCATTCCATACTCTGTCGTTTCATTTCAGGCTCGAAACGGTGAAACCAGCTTTCGTCACCTGTCGCAATACAGAGCAAAAAATAATCGCCTTCGTGTCGATATCTCTGCAGCAGTTCTGAGGTGATGGCTTTTTGCTGACCTTTGTGATCTTTGGTCAATAACCGCGGGACCCAACGAGCACAAACTTTCCTATAGCCCAAGCTTTCAATCATCTCCTGTACTGCACTGTGCCCTATTCCAAGAAGTTGGGCTATTGTGTCCACGGTCACACGCCTGTCATCTTGAATGATCTCATCCACTCTTTCCTTGTTGCGTTCAGTTGAGGCTGTTCGAGGACGACCGCTCCGAGGCTCATCTTCAACGCCGGGGTTCCCATCTTTAAAATGTTTCACCCATCTTCGAACACTGCTCACACCCATGCACACACTTCCATAAGCACGCTGAAGTCTCTGGTGAATTTCTGCAGCAGGGAGTTCCTCTTTCACAAGAAATTCGATGACAGCATGCTGGCGAAACGACATATCATTCTCCGCCATTTTGTTAGGAATGATACTGGTCACGTGATGCAAGCTATTGACGTCACAAGACACTCAAGGTTAACACAACAGCTGGTTCCACCTACCACCGTACTCTCTTTAGTCTGCTGTTCCCAGGTTGCATGCAAAAAAAAGTTGCTCATGACTTTCAGTATGACCTACATATGCATGACCATCAAAATCAGCAGCGACACCATTACAACTCAGCCGCATCCCTCTTTATAATTCAGTGTTATTTATCTAATTTCATAGAGATCATTTTTACTAACTCACTACTCACATTACATTACATTAAATTAAATATTACCATTATTTATTGGAAAATAATCATGAAGCCCGACATGTTTCAGCCATATATGGCCATTTACAGGGGCATGCAATTGCAAAAGAACACTTTATATGAATGAATTAATAAACATTTACAAGATCTATTTTAAAAACATATCTAATGGCAGTACTATTTTATGTATAGATCTGTTTTAAGTAATTCATGACATCTTTGTTTTACAATTACAATACAATTACCCCTGATGATGGCCATAATATGGCTGAAACATGGTGGACTTCATGATTTATTTAATAATTAAACCTGTACAAATGAGATGGTACTTTTGTGTTTAATTTAGAGATTTATGTAGTCGTAAAGGTTGTACATATGTGAAATGCTCCATATTCAGTATCTGAAACATACTTCATGCTGCTTGTAAATGAACAAAATTTAAAACAAAATCATAGGTCTTTTCATCATCATCATCAGCAATCTGTCAGACGACAGGTCCACAGCCTCTTCCAAAACAATTCCTCCATTTAATGCGATCTAGAGCTTTCTCCTTCAAATGACAGTATCCTCTTCTGTCCCCAAGGTCATCCAGCATCTTCTTACGTCTTCTTCCTCGTCTTCTTGTCACTTCTATCTGCCCCTCTATCTTTCCTTC